CTACCTTGGCAATGAACACCATGTTTTTGATGAGTTGATTGGCAAATTCCTCCGTTAGAAACTGTGACTGTAACTGTGCTATAAGGTCCAATGCCAACATTGTAGGGATGGCATTAAAATTGAATTTATTTTCCTAAATATGCCTTGTCATCAGTGAACTATCCTTGGATGATGTTAAAGAGTTCCCTTCTTGAATTATGATCTATCTTAAATGTAAATGCAAACGATGACAACAAAATGCAATGATTTAAAATAGCAAAAATATATGGATTTCAATAATAATATTTTTAATACATCATACATTGTACTTTAACTATTGTAAACTCTAATAAATACGGTAAATCAATATGCCTTCAAATGCCTCATAGAAACATTTCAGTGTCTCTTATATCAAAAAACATGCATGTTTAGATACATTTTGCAAAAGAGATTTGATGATCAATGCTGTGAGTTTTCTACACTTTGTTGATTCATTATTCACATGAACTGCTGACATGGGTATTAAAAACATCCGTGCATGATCATTCAAGATGTTTTGGAATGTAATGCATCTTTATGACAAATGTGTCTTTTTTTTTTACAGCAATCACTCTTAAAACATTAATATGTACTTGAATTAAAGTGCTCTTTCTCAATAAATGTACAGAGACACTTGTTAAATATGCATGTTGTGTATTCCAAAATATTGCCTTACACTAAACTTTAAATCCCTTTCAATGAAATTCAAATGTTTAAAATGTTGTCTATTCCAGAATGTTGTCTAATCCATCCAATTTCTTTGGAACCAGTGATGTCCGTATTAGACAAGTTTTATTCTTACGTGTACCTGCTGAAATGAAGAAAATATAGTGGCCAACATTTCCAAAGCAGATTCTCGTCCCATCTCCATTTCATAAGACAACTGGGTGGCATAAAACTCCAGGAGATATTCTAGGATGTACTGCAGGGCTATTTGATCAAAATAATAACCAAAGATATAATTATATTTATACCATATCAAAAATAAAGGGAAATTAGTGGGCATTGTTTTTTTTTACAAAAAAACACAAGTCCCCTTCCTTACCAAAATTAACATTAACGAGTGCAATAATACGATCAGGGTCAAAAATAATAATGCAGTGAATCTCAGCTAAAATTCCTCGATCTGTGTACAAAATTTCAAGTCTTCATTTCAATAGGATTTTAAGTTATAGTCTGGTCGTGATTTTCTTAATTTGATCTGAATGAAGAAAGCAGTCAAGGTCATATATTTTGATACAGTACATTTAGTCTTAATGTTGTCTTTCCTTGTTTTCCAAGTTTGAAATCCTAATGTCAAAAAGTTCTCAAGTTATGACCTGGATTATATTTTCAAGTAAAAGATTGACCCTGACTTTATTAATAGGTCAAGGTGGAAAAAATGTTGGCATTCCCCTTCCTCTATACCACACATCCATGTTCCAAGTTTGAAGTCTTAATGTCAAAGGGTTCTCAAGTTATGGTCTAGTCGTGTTTCCTCAATTTGACCCTGATGAAGAAAGGGGTCAAGGTCAAAAGTTTGGAGCAAATCATCTTGTTTTAATGTCTTCTTACTTCGTTCCAAGTTTGAAATTCTAATATCAAAGGGTTCTCAGGTTATGACTTGGACCCTTTTTCTAATGTCAAGGTCAAAAATTTTGGTGGTATGCATCCCTCCTTCATACCATCTCTGCATATTCCAAGTTTGAAGTCTTTATAAAAAAGGATTCTTAAGTTATGGTCTAATCAAGTTTTTTTCTCTGTTTGACCTTGAAGGAAGAAAAGTGTCAAGGTAAAAATTTTGGTGCAGTGCATCTTGTATCAATGTCTTCTTTTTATGTTACAAGTTTGAAGTCCTAATATCAAAGGGATTTCAAGTTATGGTCTAGATTCTGATTTGATGTAAAATATAGACCTTAACCTTATAAATAGGTCAAGGTCACAAATTTTGGTGACATGCACTCCTTCTCAAAGTTCATCTATCTAAGTTTAAAGTTTGAAGTCATAATTTCAAAGAGTATTTAGGTTACTGCCCGGACAAAATGTGGATGAAGAAGAACTAGAAAATCTGCTATTGCAAGCAATAACGTATGTCACCCCGAACTTAACCATAAACTGTAAGATTGTTCCAATGCTTAAAAAGGTGAGTATTTGTGGAAAGCTTCCCCCCCCCTTATCACACAAGTTATATAAAGTATTCTCTAGAAGAAAATTGTTGTAATTTTCATATCTGCGTTTCTACCTCGCTATTTCGAGGAAGGGAGGGGTTGATCTTGAAAATAGACATGCTAATCAATCATCATTTTGTAGAATTTAAGCCTTAGCATTTTGAGAACTTTATGATGAAGGGTTGCTTGTTATATGAAGGTGACGGTCATTTTTATGTAGAATCCAAGACAAAAAGCAAAACTTACAATTAGAGAAAGATATAAAAATAGAGAGAGAGAAGGTGGGTAAACTATGATTAGGTCTTCTATATTTGAAAAGATGGGGAAAAAATGCTCCTGCCATATACATACCATATACAACTCTTTTTTATTTACTAGAAACTCGTTTCTACGGCAAAAGGAAGTCTCCGTCACCAGAGACTTCGTACTATGTGCATTGCTCCAGTGCATTCTCTGTAAACTACATACATGAAAAAAGAATGAATAGTTTTTAGTGGATAAGAAGCGTTTGTCCTACCTTTTTTTGAAATGCTAAGATATTTTATAGTAATATATAAAAGCTTCATAGATGTACTTTTATGTATTCTAGGAATATTACAGAAAAAAGAAATTAGGAAGACTAAGAAATTAAATAATTTATAGCATAAAAAGATCAAACATAAATGTATGTACAAAGGTTTTAACCAATTGTATCAAGAAATTGCAAATGTGATTTTTTTTTAGTTTTTAAAATAGGCATCGCCACATACAAATATATCCTCAAAACTATAGGTGTTGACCTTTATTCCTGTGAAGTTTCATAAAGATTTTCTAAGCCTTCTACAAAACTGCAAGACAAAATTAGGGGGAATAAAAAATAATTAGTTGTCCCAACTTCCTTCCGCTGACCATCAATTCCATTTTATGCAGAAACCACTTTGATACATTGAAAGGATTCAACCAATAAAGGTTTGAAAAGTTTGATTTGGAAGTTACGGAGAAAAATGACAAATCAAAAAAAATCACCTTTTTCCTTTTTCCATGACAACGATTGGCACTTAGAAATTTTTGAAGATTGATAAAACAAATAAAGTGTCTAATCATAATTTCTATAAATTTTCATCACAACTGTCCAAGCCACCTCGGAAAACATTTGTGTGTATATTAACTTTTTTTTGTTTTTTTTTTCTGCTTTATTTTTCTTCATTTCTTTGGCAACTGTTTGCAAAAGTGTCTAATTTTTTAAATAGAAATTACTTTGACAGAATGTAAGGAACAATCCCTACAAGTTTCAAAATAATTGCCTGAGTAGTTTGTGAGAAAATCGAATATGAGCAGATTTTACTTTTCTTCTGTTTCCATGGCAAGGGTTTGTGGTTTAAAAATTTTAAATGCGAATCGCACAACTACAATTACCGTTTATCATTCTGTTGGTCATTGGTCACTGATCATTGGGATCAGCAAGAACATTCAGGACAAAAATCTTCACTTTTCGTACGTTTCCATGGCAACAGTAGCCATGCTGAAACTGAAAAATATTTTCCGCACAAATACAGCTGGTCATCACCTGTTATGGAAAATTTCAGCAACATTGTCCCAGCTATCTGCGAGAAAGTTCGTGAACAATGTTTTCATGCGGACAATAGCAATATGTCCCCCGCCCCCCCCCCCCCCCTTCACTTCGTTCGGGGTGACATAATAAGAAAATCGACAAAAACAATACCTCTCCCCTGGAAGGGGAAACATAAATATGGGCAACAAGAAGATGTTAGTATCAGGTGACTTAAAAAAAACTATTTTCAAAATAAATTAAAACTATTTACCCCCCCCCCCCATTCCCCGATCGTTACTTGTTTATATGCCAGTTTAATTTTGAAGGATTTAATTTGATGACCCTTTGCTAATTTTAAAAGTACGTATAGGCGTGCAATGAAGTAAAGGATTAATTATACTAAATTCAACGTTGTGAAAAATTTTTATTTAACAAATGCTTCCTTAAAAGTAAACCAGGTAAATATGCAGACTCATGCAGTCACAGGTAGATGCACACAAAGAACCGAGTCAACACAGAGCTGGATCATTTTTTAATTTTTAAAGTACAAATATGCCGCCATGATTGAAAAGGACAAACTTAATCAGGTAAGACAGTATCTTCCATAAGCGTTGTTTAATATAAATGAATTATTATATATTAGTTTTCCTTCCCGTTCTTTACTGTTGAGTTGATACATGTAATAAATATTTTGTATCCCCATGTAAAGCAGATATAAACAGATGTACTTTTTTCATTAAAGCACAGGTATAATAAACTCCTCAATAAATATGCAACATGACAACATCATCAGATCCCCAGGACAGGGCACAGGACGTAAAACACTGTCAACTTTGCCCAGGAAAAGACAGAAAGTCTGCTGCAGAAACTTTGTGTAACACATGTCATGTTGATCTCTGTAGAGATTATGTAGGTCACCATATGATTTCTAATCCCACCATTAGACATGATGTCGTTACTTTTGAGTTCAAAAAATCTGAAATCATTCCACCACAATGCAGTGTCCATGGTGAAAAAAAATGTGAAATTTTCTGCGAACAATGTGAATTTCCGATATGCCAAACATGCCGAACCTCTGAATCTCATAAAAATCACAGAGTATCACCAATTTCTGAAATTTATACCTCTAAACAAGAGCTTATCAGAAAAGACTTACATGAACTTGAAATTAGCATTGCACCTGTTTATGAATCAATACTCTCTGAAATGAAAGAGATGTTATCAAGCATTGAAAAGAAACATGCTGATAGACGGCACACTATAAATGAATTTGGTAAAAAAAAAATGTCACAGAATTGTAGATAATGTCATTGAAAAATATCAGAGAGATTCCAGGAAGATGGAGAGAGGATGGTAATTCAATTCAGAGCTTGATATCAGAGTTCCAGAAAAGATATTCATTAATTCAATCAACAATAGCTGAAAACCAGTCTATTCTTGAATCAAATGATTCATCCAAACTTCTCAAATACATTTCCAAAAATGACAAAATTACAACTATTCCTTCCAGATATGAATTAAAAGTGCCAGAATTCACTTTCACAGAACTTATGGAGCAGGCACTGTGTCAGATAATTGGTGACATTCCAGAGACAAAGAAAACTTATATCCAGGGAAAGGACTTAATAGCTCCCCACTCAGAGCTCCATTCAGAAAGACCAATCAAAGAGTTTCTTGATTCGCCACTTATAGTAGGAAATATAAAAACTGATGAAAGTATTTTCAAAATAGCTTGTGTTCCAAACACAGATCAATTCTATGTCAGTGGTTTGAGTACAACCATTAAACACATGAACACAGAAGGAAAGGTGCTGGAGAAGATCACTACTACAGGGATGTTAGGTCCTAAAGATTTAACAGTCACTCGGGAGGGTGTACTAGTGTATTGTTCTGGTAATTTTAAAAGTATCAACAAAGTAAAAAATGGCAAAGTAGAATGTATGATCAGTTTAAAAGACTGGAAACCACAGGCCATCTGCAGCACCCAAACAGATGATCTCTTAGTATATATGACATTAAAGCATGGATTTGAAATGTTTGTGCAAAGAAAAGTTGTCCGTTATAATTTCGACTCTGCAGTCAGACAAGAAGTACAATTAAGTGTCGTGAACAAGGATTTAATGTCATCCTATGTTCCCCACATTGATGAAAACAAGAACCTTGACATTGTAGTGAGTGATACAAATTCAATATTTGTGTTCAATAAAGATGTGCGATTCAGGTTTATTTATTGTGGAAACCCAATGTCAAACAAATACAAAACCTTTACTCCATGTGGTATTACCACAAACAGTATTTGTCATATCTTGATTGGTGACAGTGTTAATAACTTCATCCACATCATTGATCGGAATGGACAATTCCTCCGGCATATAGACAACTGTGATTTATACAGTCCATATTGTGATCTCTGTACAGACAGCAATGACATATTGTTCGTTGTGCAATTAATAACCCAGGAAGTGAAACAAATTAAGTATATGGAATGATATATCAATGTATATGCAGGCAAATAAACTGACATGACATGTGAAACTCTTATGTCCGTGGTTAACAAAAACTTTGGAATCATCATTGTTCATGCCATTGAGATATATTGTACTTTTGTATCATGACAATGTTAATTTCATACATTAAAAAAACTATACATACATATGCATTATGCAGATTTATGTACCTTAAATATATAAAGATATTTATTTTATGAATGTTAACATTGGACCTGAGCTGTATGGAGTAAATGTACACGTAGCATGTTGAAATAATTTCACTTATAATCCTATTTTTTATTATGGTAACCACTGCTCTCACGCCAATTTGTGTTATAGGGGTTAAAATATAGCACAAGAGTAATGTTCTGGAGTGATTTGGATATACCAACACATTACAAACATTTTACAAAGATCCTCATATATCATTTTTCTGGTCAACTTGACCGTTTTGTGGCCCAATTATAGACAAATAAGAGTCCAGGCAGACACCAGTCATTGACATTTATACACGAAAAAAAAGAATGCTGAGTTTTGACATAGCCCATCATATTATCATTCTTTTCAACATTATTTTTTCCACAAACTTTTATGTGGCACCTTGTTCCCATTGTTTTATGAACAATGAGAACCAACTATAAAACACTTCTCACACCACCAATTGCACTGTACCAGTCTCAGTAAGAATATAAAAGTTAAAATTACTGAGTTGAAAAAAATTAATTTTAGCGTTATAAAACTTGCAACAAATACGTACAATGTTCTAAATCAATTTTTTTTTTTAAGAAAGTCAACTTCATCTCTAAATAATTACCTTTTAATTTTTTTCCCCAATGTTATTTTAGAAAGAGCTTGTTTGGCAACCAAAATAACGAGATACTTTCAGCAGAATAGGGTTTTAGTACATAGACAAATGTGTAAACAGTTAAAATTTCTGGTTGGCCAGAAATTTTGCAACCGTTCATTCCCATATGAGCAAACAAAGAGCATTTTATCTAAAATTTTGCTTCATAAAAACATAAAGCTTAGCTAACCTTCTACATTTAAGAGCATTTCTGAAAATGTAAATTATGACTATGTGAAACCTCTTTCAGTGGTGTGATGAATGCCATGAGGAATTTTGTTACTGATGATTTGAGCCAGTATGTTGTACGAGCCATAACTTTTCATAGACCTGGCCTCAAACAATTTACTTGAAACGCCAGCCAGGTCCTTCTGCCATTTATCCACATAAATTTTCATGGAAAACCTGATGGAGGAAAAGAAATCACTGAGAATTAATAGATTTCAGGATCAATTAAACAGGCAAAAATTCTTGAGCAGCACATGAACAGTGTAGCACAAAAAAATGAATTATAGAAAATTTAATATGTGTAGCAATTTATCTCAAAATGAGTGAAATCTTGCAAGAACTATTACCATCAAAGAGATCTTTGCAAATATTTTTTAAAAAAAATAATTTATCTGTCATCTATGCATTTTAATTTTGGAAACTACGATATAATTCAACAATGTAGTGTTACAAAAAGCAGAATAGGTTACCTGCTATTCTTTTCTCAATGTTCCTGTAAGTTCTGACAAAATGTATGTGAAAAGCCTTGGTCCCAGAGAAGTAGTAATCTTCACTAGTGTATCCCTAGCAGTGTTTCTCATAGGTGAAGTTTTATTGCCAAAAATTATGAGAATACGATGATTAGGGATAAGCAAAATAGTGAGTCTAGTACTCAGTAACTGAACACAATAATCATATCTATTTACCTGTCTTTACTTGCCAGTGCTAATATACTAATGCATATTCACTATATAATTGATATCAATAGAGCTCCGCCCACCACCAGTACATCTAAACCAGAGGACATGAATTTCACAATATTAGAAGAGGCATCCTTGTTCATCATAAGCATATAAATAATTTGTATATTTAATATTTAAAGGCAGAGAAGATATTTAAAGAATTTAGGTACTTTCACTATATGATTAATAAAGCCCCATCCTAAAGTCAGTCACCCTGACCCTGGGGCCATGAATTTCACAATTTCAAAAGAATCATCACAACTAGGCACATAGTTAGTTTTCTAAATACGACCCAATGATACGTAATATTTGCTAAAAAGGTTATTATAACGACCACAGAATTTACGAAATGCTGACTTTAAACGCGATTGTTGAAATTCCTGTAACATCAACTCATCTGTCAGTAGCCTGCCTCAGTTTAGAAAGGGGCCATGAATTCTATAATTTTGGAAGATGCAACCTTGCTCATTATAATCTTGCACTATCTTTGCTTCATATCCAGGAGCAGAGGATACGTCTTGGAGACTCTTCCTACAGACATCCAACTCTCCTGGTTTAAGTACAGGTAACAAGTTTTTAAGCAGCACATGAACCGTGTACCACAAAACATGAACCTGTCGAAGATAATGAATACTGCAAAGTATGATTTATTTAATTTTTATGTAATGAGTGTGTCATCTTACAATCAATACCTTGAATGGGTTAACTGCAAATTATATGTGACAAATTAATGTACAGTTAAACTTTGGTTTTCGAATACCATGGATATGTCTAAGTGATTTGGAAGTCCCAACCCCTTATTTTTTAAGTATTTTACACTAGATATTTCTAATCCTATGACGTCTTGAATTTTTTTTATCCCCATTGAGTTCAAAATAATAAGGTTGGACTGTATCTGCCATATCAATTGTGAAATTCGATATCACAAAACAATTCAATGAAGTAGCATTCAAATTGTTAAACCTAGAAGGTTAGGTTACCTGATACCCTCTTCTAAATGTTTCTCTTCTTTAAGTTCTTACAAAATGTATGGGGAAAACCTTGGTCCTAGAGAAGTGGTAAGCTTCACTAGTGTATCCCTAGCAGTGTTTCTGATATCCACTGCTCTCGACTTCATAAAATTACACACTTTCAACAGGATTCTAAAAAAAAAACAAAGCATGTATACTTTTTAAGAAATTTTTAAATCATAATAATCCTATACATTTTTTTCTTCATCAACTCTAAAAGACTCATTGATAGTACAGTTAATAAAGATGAATACAGTAAAACTTGTTTAATCTGGATTTTGTGCATTCCGAAATCCTATCTATTATAATGTAAACTTTAAGTCCCTCTCAATTAATTCAATTGATTAAAGTATTGTCTAATTCAGAATGTTATCTAGTTAGTCGAATTTTTTTAGGGTCGTTGTCTAATTAGACTAATTTTTTAGGAAACAGTGGTGTTCAGATTGGACAAGTTTTACTCTATGTGCAATTTGTGAATTTGAGCAGAAAATAACACGAACCCTGAAAGGTTCCGCTCCAGTGACTTACTTGGTCATCTTGGATTGTATTCTCCACATTTAATGATTTCTTTTAGGAAATGATTCTGTAACCTGAATGCAAATCTTCAGATATCTTGACATTTTTTTTATACATAACTTTACATGAAAATGCATCATCATCAAAGCATACATGAAATGCTTAATAATAAAATGTACCTTCTTTGTAAGACACCTCTGTAAGCTAGGGATAACAGACTTCATTATGGCACAGTGAATTCTAGTGGCCTGACCAACAGAACATATCACCATGGAATTAAACTGTTTTGTTTGAGAGCCAGTGGTTGTTTCCATGGTTTCATAAGTTTCCTCTTGAATTGTGGGTATTGCATCTACAATTTCCTCTGTGGTTTCTTCTTGATACATCCAGGTCACGGACCTGTCCGGGTACAGGACCCATCTCGGATTTGAAACCCTTACCTGTCCTTGCACGGATACATGCAGGACACAGACCTGTCCGTGTGCGAAACCCATACCATTGAATACTTTATTAAAGAAAGTTGTATGCTTTTATGTTAGGGATAGGAAATCCCAATATGATCTGTATATATTGACTCGTTTTATTTTTTACATCCCTTTTCAACAATCATTTCCAATCATTTGCTAGAATCCGTTGCTCTATCTTTAGTCTCACACAATCATTTGTTTTATTAATTGTCTTGACTAATGATCTGTACCCAAATGCATGGACCCCAACACGTTACAAAAATATGATATTTTCTTCCGTATTTATTTATTTGTTTATGATTATGTCTACATGACCATTAAAATCAATAAAAGTACTCGAATGACCTTATTATTATTATTTACAGCGATAAATTATCTAAGGTGAATAATGAAGAGGGCCGTCATGGCAGCTTAATTGGTAGAACGCTAGCTTAGTGATCTGAAGGTTCTTGTCTCGGCCGCGGCAAGTTTAAGTAGAAAAATTACATACTGGGAAGTGTTCCTTCGCCAAGCAGTTGGAACTTCGATGTAAAAGTTGCAAGTCTCTCGGCATAGACCGAGGCCTGCATCTCAAGGCGTTGGCACAATAGAGATCCCTTGCTGCTCAATGGCTTTGTTTGCAGAGTATAGGTAAAAGTTTGAAGCCTTTCACGTCTCATGTGAGTGATATGATCTTAAAATGGACGTTCAACTACGAACAATCAATCAATTGAAGAAGGGCAACCTGTCAAAGTAGCATAAAAATTTCTGAACATGTACAATATAGCCCTGTCCGAACAGCAATCTCCCTCAGAGTGGTCAAAAAGATGTAAAATAACTTTGCACGTTAAAATTGTGTGCATAATTTGTCTGCTAGTTGTCTATAAACAGAGAAGATTTTTCAAAGAATAAATGCATTTTCATTAGATGGTCAAAAGAGCCCCACCCTAACACTAGTTGCCCTGACCAGGGGCCATGAATTTCACAATTTAGAAGAAGAACACTTGTCTACTAAATATATTCAAATAGGGAAAAGGAAACTTAAAGAATTCATTGATTTTTATCATATGATCAATAGAGCCCACCGTTCAAGGTAGCTCAGTCGGTAGAGCTCTCGCTCCGTGATCGGGAGGTCGTGAGTTCGAATCTCGGCCGACACTGACCTAAGTCGATAAAAAATGGGTAGCAACGCGCTGGGCACTTTGAAGTGAAAGTTGAGGGTCCTTCGGATGAGACCTTAAAAACCGAGGCTCCGTGTCACGGCAAGCGTTGGCACGATAAAGATCCCTCACTGCTCAATGGCCGGAAGGATTTGGAAGAAGCACTCATGGTCATCGTAACCAAGCACCTAATATACGAGAAAAGAGAAGAAGATTTTAATCAAGAATTTATGTATATATCCAATATATGATCAATAGACTCCTGCCCTTACACCTAAACAACTGACCTCGTGCCATAGATTTCAAATTTTGGAATAAGCACCCTGCTCATTATAACAGTTCACCTATTTTTCTACTTAATATGGCATGCATTCTTACTTTGAAGCATCTTTTAGCATCTTGGTAACTCATTGCTTATCGCCCATATGTCAATAACAGGAATTAAGGTTTCATTGACTTTACATATGAATAAATGTAATAATGTAATTAGCAATGCAATATATAATTGTCCAAATAATTACAATGCAAACATTATTTGCAATACCGAGATTTGTGCAATATTTTAAGGTCACATAGTTTATCGTTGCTAACTTGCAATGCCTTTTTTTTTTCAAATGAAAATATTGTTTTTTTAAGGGCAGATGATACAAACCTTTGTCAAAAATCTTGAAAAAAAAAAACTTAAGTCATGCTCAATGGGGTATGATGAATAAGTTTAACCGCATAGATTTTCATTTTTCATTCAAATTTTCACAATAATGGAATTTAAAATGACGAGAAGTTGTATAGAATAATAACGATGACCAGAAAGGTAGAATTTTGAACATCTTAGGAAGTTTATAATTTCTTAATTGATTTAATGAATAGCATTTCTTCGCTCCACCTGCGTCATTACAGTAAATTGGTTGACCTTTCTTTTTTACTTAACACTATCTTAAACAACAAGTCCATCTTGATATTTTAGCATATCTCTTTTAGCGTCAAGAAAGGCTCAAAGGTAATTTGGTCCTTGTCTGTTTTCTCGTGTCTCCAACTATTTTTAAGAATTCAAAGTATTTACTTCAGTATTTTTAAAAAAAACCTTAAACGTTAACATTCAAAAACCAATAAATTTTACTCAAATTTTACATAAATAAATAAGTCTAAAACGAGTATTGCAAAAAAAAGTATTGTTAAAAACTCATTACTAATAAATAAATAAATTATGTAAACAAAAAAAAGATAGCTACATCAAATAATGCATGGGAAAGACATTTGAGGTATAAATGGACTTCTATCATTGTTAAAATTAAGTATGTGTTACAGGAGACATTTAAATCAATGCACTTAGTACACAATCAATACAATGCTAGATCATTTAAATTGATTATCTTAATTAAAGTACAAATTACCAAACATTATGCTTAGTTACGAACTTAACAAGGTAAGGCAAGAGAACATTATGTTTTATTTTCAGTGATATTATAATCAAACCCTTTCCAACTCCATAAAAAATTACAAGAATTTTTGTAAATTTAAATATCTGAGCCAATTTTTTGATAACGAAAAATTTCTTTGTCTATAAGCGTCGTCGTCGTTGTCGTAATCGACGTAATTTACATTTCCAATGGGCAAATTTCAACTAAACTCAATACAAAATATGCTAAGATGAAGGGAATTCAAGATTTATTTTCAAATGAAGGGCAACTCCAAGTTCCAAGCAAAGATTATCAAGAAAATGCAAATACAGAGAGGGGTTATAAAAAATCTCCTCAAGAACCACTTTGCCCTCTTATAAATGTATGAAATGTATATGAAAGCTTTTTGAAACAATTTCCGTTTAAGATTTTACATATCCTAATGGTATGGTGGGGCCACAATAGGAATCGAAGTTTTTCATAGAGATATATAGGAAAATATTTGTAAATAACTTTTTCCCAAGAACAGCAGAATCACGTTTAGTCATATTAATATGCAAATATCCTCAGGTGGTGCAGATTAATGTTTGTTTAAATCATGGTCCTTGGGACGGGATGGGACCACATGCAATTGGTTAGACATGAAAAATCTTTAAAAAGCCCCCTGTGTAGAACGACAGGGTCATGATTAGTGGTTTTGATATGCGGGCATTCTCAGGTAGTGTAAATTGAAGTTTGTTTGAATTCTGACCCCAAGGGAAAGGATGGAATTCTAATAGGGAATTAACTTTCTTTTAACATGTCAAGAACAGCAATGTCATGATTGATTATAAATGCAAACATACCTTGCAATGTAGAATCAAGTTCGTTTCAGTCATGGCCCTGGGCCAATGTTTTGAAGAACAGCATGGCCAATGTGACTCAGGTGTCAGTCGTGGCTCACTGATCTCTTGTTTTTCATTGTCGGTACAGGCAGAATAAACTCCTTCACGAAAGCAGCATGGCAGCATTAACAGATTCATTTGAAAGGAAAGAAAATGTGAAACACTGTCAACTTTGCCTTGGAAAAGACACAAAGTCTGGTGCAAAAATTATATGTAACGAATGCAACGTCGATCTCTGTCAGAATTGTGTAGGTCACCATGTTATTTCCATGCCAAACATTAAACATGTTGTTACTTTTGAATTTGAAAAATCTTAGATCATTACACCTCAGAGCAACATCCATAAAGAACAGAACTGTGAAATTTCCTGTCAAGAGTGTGATTCTCCAATTTGTCCGAGATGCTTTGCTACTGGATCCCATGAAAATCACATTGTACCACACATATATAAAACTTATAGCCCTAAGCAAGAGCTCGTCAGAAAAGACTTATTTGAACTTGAAACAAGCATTGAACCGGTGTATAAATCAATTCTGTTTGAAATAGGAGCAATGGCATCAAGCATTGTTGAAAAGCATTCAGAAAGACAAGAAACTATAAATGAGCTTGGTAAAAAATATCACAAAATAGTAGACAATTTCATTAAAAAGTATCAGAGTGATTCAAGGAAGATGGAAAGCGAAGATCTTAACTCTATTCAGGACTTGAAATCAGAGTTCCATAAACTACACTTACTAATTCAATCAGCAATTGTTGAAAACCAATATATCCTTGCTTCGAATGATTCATCCAAGCTTGCCAACTACACTTCCAAACATGAAAAATTCAGAAAAGTTCCTCCAAGATTTGAATTAACAGTACTTCAATTCAATCCCACAGAACTTACAGAGCGGGTATTTTGTCAGATAATTGGAGACATTCCATACACAGTCAAAACTGGTATTCAGGGACAGGTCCTAAAAGCTCCAAAGCCAGTGTCCAAGTTTGAAAAACCAATCAGAAAGTTTCTTGATTCGCCACGTTTAACAGGATATATAAATACAGGTGAAGTAATTCATGAAATAGCATGCATTCCTTACACAGATGAATTCTATGTCAGTGGTATCAGAGGAATATTTAAACACAACAACGAGGGGAAGGTGCTAGACAAGATCAGTACTACAAAAAAAGACCCAGCTAAAATTACAGTCACGAGAGAGGGGCACCTGCTTTACCTTGATGGGCGGCATGGAAACATTACCAAAGTAAAGAGTGGCAAGTTAAAACATCTGATAAGAGTAAATGACGTAGGCTGGATACCAAAAGCAATTTGCTGTACCTTGACAAATGATATCTTGGTACTTATGACATCACTATATGTATTTCATAGACCCGTGCATAGACAGGTTGTCCGTTATTCCAGCTCTAGAGTAATGAAAGAAATACAATTAAGTGACATTGTTTTTGGTTCATTTCCATCACACAAGTATGTGCCCTGTATTGATGAAAACAAGAACCTTGACACTGTAGTGAATAATACAAATTCAATATTAGTTTTGAATAATGAAGGAAAACTCAGAATTAAGTATGACAGCAACCCTGAGTCAAATAAATACACAAACTTTATTCCATGTGGTATTACCAACGACAGCATGTGTCATATCCTAGTTGCAGACAGGGCTAATAACATTACACACATCATTGATCAGAACGGCCAATTCCTCTTGTTCATAGACTTTCAAATTCCATGTGATCTTATCACTATAGACAGTAATGACATATTGTATGTCGCAGAACCAGAAACCTTTACAGTAAATCAAATTAAGTATTTGGAATAAAAAGATACAGTGTTCAGTCAAATAAATGGATATGATTCAAATAACTAAGTCTGTGGCCACAAACATATTCTTAAGTCTTGGAGTTCAAATGATTGAGTACCGTCACAAAAGCTCAGTCAGTAGAGCGCTCGCTCCGTGATCGGGAGGTCGTGTGTTTGAATCATGGCTGCGACTGACCCAAGTCGATATAAAAATAGGAAGCAACTGTTCCTTTGCCAAGCGCTCGGTACTTTGAAGTGAAAGTTGCAGGTCTTTCGGATGAGACCTTAAAAACCGAGGCCCCATGTCACAGTGGGCATTGGCACAATAAAGAACCCTCACTGCTCAATGGCCGAGTGCCGAGTAAAAATCTAAATTTGAAGCCCTTCACCGGTATATGGTGACGTCTCTATACGAGTAAAAAAATTCTCGAACAGGATGTAAAACAACATTCAATCAATCAAACGATTGCATGTGCAGATATTGGTATTGTTATGCTGATAGGTCTAAATTTACACATTCTTATTATCACACAGACTCTAAATTACTTGTATACATTTCTTTAATATTTTTAAAATCATTGTGATTTGAACTTTTCAAATTGAAATGTACACAGGACATATGAAAATTATTTTAAGTTAGGCATATACATGTACAGGGTGTCCAAAAAGAAAGGTAACACTTTAACATTTTGATACCTTCGCTAAATCCCATGCTATTTCTATGAAAATGATGTCATTCAAAAGGTCTCAAACAAAAGTTTTTTTACTATTTGAAAAAATAATGCGCCATAACTTATGACGTTCCAACACTATGACATCATTTAAATTAAAGTTATTTCAATATGGCGTGTCTCACGTCAAAACGGCGTAGTTTTATCGTCAAACAATTTTATGAAATGAAAATATGTAACAGACGTTCAGCGAAAGTTTAGATCCTATTTTAAGAATAGTATTGTAAGCAGCAAACATGTCTACAAGCTTATATGTAAATTTGAGCGACAAGGATCAGTAGCAGATGCTCCAAAAGCAGGTCGAACTTTTCCAACTTTTTCTATTGTAAACAATGTTGAATGATCACTTTAATATAAACACTACTTATTTTTATCTCCTCCAAAAGAAAAATATTAACATTTCCTGCAGTCTATGGTTTACTGCATCCCAACCACCCTTATTAAACAAGTAAAGCAAAACTGTAATTTTAGTCAAAGGAAATTTGAATATACATGTATTATTTTGCAGTTCCAATAGAGAAACACTTACAATATTTGTGTGATGTGTCAGCTTTGCTAACACATGGGTTTATTAACATCAGCTAACAATAAGAACAAGTATTTGCAGCTCCAGATCAAATCATGATTTATGATGAGCTAAAATGCAGAAACATAATATTGTACATTTACATGTATGACAAAATAATGGTAAAAATGAATTCAAATAATTTTCATTTTCATGTATCACAGAGTCAATTTTCAAGATGTAATAGCAAAGTCTTTTATTTTTCGTTTCTTTATTTTCTTAGACACACGGTATTCCTCTATCTTCCTCTTCTTTGCCTCTCTTTTTGCCAAGTTTTTCTTCATCTTCTTTTTAGCTGCATATTGTGGATTAGAGACCGCCTGAAAAAATATTTAAAGAACAATAAAATGTTGCCAAAGAAAGAGAACTAAGATTTTCATGTTTACAACCTCAATTTCCCATTTTTCTATGTTTTTTACTTCGCAAATGATAGATGAACTTAATTCACACACATGTATATATTCCCTTATTGTTTTGGGTTATATTTTTATTTATCATTTAACAGTTCAGAAATTGCATACACCTTTTTCTCTCATAAGTTTATCTTTTTATTTCAAGAATTTCAACCAGAAGACAAGAAACTGGAGTCTTATATAATTATACAAAATGTAATAATTTTTATTCCAGACCTCAACGGCATCTTTTCTTTTTCTTGTTTCCTTTCTGTCGAACTGCTCTTTGTGAGTTTTTGCAAAAAGCTGGGTGTATGTTTCCACGCCAAGGATCTTCTTGAGTATATCCAACACTTCCTGTGCAAGTCTTTTAAGTGATGAATCTACAATTTAATCATTGTATATTAAATATACAGGTAGTTTGTGACATAATCATTTATTATGAATCAATACATAATTTATAGGCTGTTGTGACACGATAGCAGTGTTTTTGTTTGAAGTTTGCTGTACTGTATTAGCAATACAGAACTGTAATACAGTGGGCGGAGCTACTTTCTGTTCTGTATTAGCCCTGTATACTGTCTTGTATTAACCAACTGTTCTGTATCTAAAATACAGCATGGTCTAAAAATAAATCTGATTCAATTTATCAAAAGCATGTACAAATAGTAAATGCTGATTTTTTTCCTATTATAAATTTTAAAGAAATTTCCTTAGGAATGTAAAATGTCAAAATTTCTCAATCACTTTTAAAAAATTATTCCACACAGAATCTACACGTTATTTCGATCCAAACAAAAAGGAAAATTCGCAATTATGGAAAACATCCTATGTTGGATAAATTCCTGAAAATCTGTTTGCTTTCCCTGCTTTTTGTGTCCCTTTCAAAATAGTACATGTAGGCCTAAAGCCAATGGGTTCACGGATGCAGCATACATTAGGTGAAATTCACACTCCCCCTCCCCCCCATTTTCCACCCTTCTCGTGCAAATTCAATCAAGTCCATTTTTCAGATTTTTTTAAAATTTCATCTTAAATCCTTATCGCTGATGACTGCTGCACATCTCTTTCATTTCGTTTTTTAATGTCGCATTTCAATAAGAAAATAAAAATCTGTAACATCAAAGTCTGTCGAAAAACTGTCTGTATCGCCTGTATGTGTCTCTAGTTAAACTCAGATTTTAAGACCCCTGAAATAAATGAGGATCAATCTCCATCTACAACAAGGTTAAATAATCCACCTTATTAATTAAGACTGACTTCAAGTCTGTTACGTCTACCCCGTTGTCAAAACTAATCTGACTAACTCTTACGTTGTCGGTGGAAATATATATATATACTGCGGATGTATACTCCCCGTCTAGGCCTCGTCTACAGAGAGAACAAAAGAACTCTGGCGGATGTTTGGATGCAGCACAGCTATGAAGTGGGCGGTGCTTTTTTTTGATTGATCGTGTCACAAATCATTTAGAGAACTCGACAGGTTCTGTATCATAGATACAAATTTGGGGGTGGAGACTCGTGCTACGCACTCGTCCACCCCCAAATTTGTATCTACGATACAGAACCCATCTCGTTCTCTAAATAATACTAATTAATTTACATTAAACAAAAATGCCATTTTACAACATCAGAGAAAATTAAGGAAAATATTCCCCATTCCTTTTGAAAATAAATTTTCTCTGAATTCCTTTTGATTACTAGATTTGAAATGATATTAATGTCTTTATCAAATATTTCCTCATCTGAAATGAACTACTCATTTGTTACCAGAAAAATTCATAAAGTTAAGTACTAAATGATACTCTTTTTGTTATTTTAGTCAATAACACTGACCAGTATTTGGATTATTCTCATTTGTCTCCCTTTGTAGAGCTGGCATCATGACTGGAACAACACTGGGGAGAAGTGTAGGACCGAGGTCCATACTGACAGCTGCCACCCACTTAAATACACTACATCTCTACAACAATATTATCACAATTTCACACTACAAAGTAAACCTCTATTATACATGTACATTTACAGGTACATAAACAGTCAAACCTCATTATCTCAAACTCAGGACCAAGAAAACACTATGAGAAACAAGTATCCAAGGATTCGCAATATCCACGGTAAAATATGAGGGATTAATTGGGACTTCCAAATCACTTCGACATATCCATGGTAATCAAGATATCAGTGTTCGAAATACCAAAGTTCAACTGTAGTTTGTTTAATGAAGAGTAGTTTCAATGACTTAAATTATATTAAACATGTACATATAATTAATTCATTCAAACTTACACTTCATAAAACATAGAGAAACTGTATTTTGTTAACTTTCTTGAAATACAATACTGAATTTTAGTAAATGTTTTCTCTAATGCTGTATGCTATTCATACATGTATATTCTATATTTTTTTACTTTTTTAGTAAATAATGCTGTCCCTTTTTCTGTGGCTTGTTATTAAAGAAAATACTTTGCCGAATTTTTTAGAAAAACTCAATAGTACATATTACCAAAACTTGCACACATACTTAAGCAATTCTAATAAAGCATAAAAATCTACCTTTATTGTAGTTTTTGGTTGGTTCACTGCCTCGTGGTTTGCTTCCCTTATCATTTTCTTGATTAACCATTGCAATGAAAGACACTTTTTGTCCTTTGTTCCACTATTTTCTTTTTCTACAGAGTCACTAAAACTCTCTCTGTCAGAGAGAAGCTTGGCTACCTTGGCAATGAACACCATGTTTTTGATGATTTGATTGGCTAATTCTTCTGTTAAATACTGTGACTGAAGCTGTGATATCAGGTCCAATGCCAGACTCTCCAACTAAAAAAGATATTACAGATAAGTACATGTTTCTTCTAAGCCTTACATACAAAAAAAAATAAGTTTACAGTAAGACAATGTACCTTTTTAATGGAGTCCGTTTTAATGAAATCACGCTTAGCAGAACTAGAGGAGGGCTGTACAATTTCCTCTGGAGTCCATGCAGCAAACAACAGACCAATCAGTTGGCAGGATGCCAACTGCACCCACATATGTTCATATCCCAAATGACTCACAACATATTCTGAAACAACAGTAAAAACTAACTAAACATTAACCACTTAACTTTACAAAAACTTAAAAGTACTTTCTGTCTTTATCTGCCACAATATTTCCACTTACTGCAGAAATAATGAAAAATCTTTGAATCTTATTCATAATAACCTTCTTACAATAATCTGAAATCAATTTCATATGATATCGAAAAATATACTATTCAAAAAATTTGATTGTTTACCCCATATGATATTCATTTCTTCCATCCATTTAACATCCCTGATTATGTCACATTCCCTCAGTAGCTTGAGGAGTGTATTTAAACAGTTGAAAAGTAGTCTATCTTTCTCTGTTTCTCCATCAGAACTCAGGGGCTAAAAATAGAACAATGCATTCCATCCCTAGAAATGCTAAATACTGAAACAAATCATTATACCTGTATCTATTTTATAAGTATTACTTGATTATCTCAACAAAAATTGAAATATTTGTGGGGGTTTTTTTGATGATTTTTAAAGTTAAGCAGCATTCTCCAGAACAAAATGTCTTCCTTTCAATTTATATTTCTGGGTACATACAATGTTCATGTTTAGATATGCATTTCGAAGGAGAAAAAATACACACATTTTCTTCATATCTCCCTGGGTCTGTCTGCTGTTGAATTAAAGGTAATAACACAGACAAGTGGTGTGTAAACTTTGTGGACTCTACTTCTATAAATAGACCAGTCAGCTGAGCGGCAAGGATCCGATGGTTTATCTATAAATATTGATAAAACCTAAATGAGTAACCATGTACCATTCGCAGCTAAGATAGTAATGAAAACCAGAAAATTCCTAAAAACATGAGGCATGGCAGTAAAATGCTAGGTTCAATTTATGCATAAAATGTCGCTGTCCTTACATCAATCAATTGACTATCACCCTCTGTCCCATTTCATGTATCAAAACAAAGTAGAGACTTGGTGTTTTCATTTCCTATAACAAAATTTCTTTTTAAGAATCCAAGTATTGGAAAACAGGCTCTGTGAAAATGCAATGTTCTTGAATTTTGCAGAAAACAGGTGTATTTGTCTGCTTTCAGCTAAGAATTAAAATACGAGCACAGCCCTTGATACAAAAATTAAAACATGTTTTATGATCTTCAGAAACAGATCTTTCATTAGGGCTATTCCAGGAAAAATTGTATGGGGGGGGTTGGAAGGCATTTTTATTTTTACCCCACCACCCATACATTTTTAATTACCTTCTACCCCACCCCCCATCAATTTAAAAATGCTTTTGATACAACCACCCATCTAAATTTTAAAAAAAAAATTGTATCATATATATATATACAATAAAATTTTATGTACTTTTTTCAGGTATTGTAATTTATCTGACTTCGAATGAGTGTTGGGTTTTGACATCTATCCAACCAGGCCCATTTTACAAAAGAACTTATGACTAAGAAAAAAATTTTATTATGCAAATAAATTTCTTTTTTGCATTACTTTAAAAATGTTTTAAATCTTTTTGAAAAAAAAATAAGATAGTTTTATGCCAACAATTTTTAACAGAAACATAAGTTTTGTAAGATTTTATGAACAACTAAAGTTTTTAGTTTTAGTCATAAGTTTTTTTGTAAAACAGTTCCCCGTGTTCCTGCTACAGCTTAAAAAAATAAGTTCCTTTAGGCCTATGATAAACACCACTGAAAACCTTTATTATAGTGATCTGTATATCTGTTCTGATGCATGACTTTGTAGTATGTTAAGCTTTGGTAAAGCTTTTACAGGTATGTATACACATGTCTAGTAGAAATGACATTCCTACAATTAATTAAAATTAATATTGTAAATTATAGCCTAGCTATCCTTAGCAATTGTTGTTCACCTTGTTCATAACAAAATGATTCCTGCTTCTTTTTTTTTTTTTGGGGGGGGGGGGGGGGGGGCTAAACTTCTGTAGGCAGTGTCTGTTAAGTGAAAACTTTGATTAAAAAAATATATTGAATGAATTCTAAATCCCATCTAACAACTTAGACCATTGGTGCATACAAGTTCGACAAGTTAACACTTACATGTAACAGGTTAAAGACTGGTATGTTTTTGACAAAATACATTTCATATTGTTTTCAAACTTATATCTCATCTTCCTTTTACTCTGTATGTGGTATAAAGTAAAATATTTGACTTGCAAACTCCATAGTCATGCTCTAAAACGTTCATTATCAGATACCTTTTTTTCTACTTTCGGTTTAAAATAAAACGATCTTTCTGATTGTTTCTAATATCATTTAATTTACCAATGTAATCAAGTTTGATTAAAGTGGCGAAAAGAAACTGGACCAAGTACTCCAAAGCACAACGAATCCGTTTTCCAATCCCCCATTGTCATTGCAGTCTCAGTTGCACATGCTTTTATAGTTATCTGCCCTTGTTTCCGTTTAGTTTGATTCTACTTTCACTTTCAATGTAAACACACTGTACAACTATTTAGGACAAAAATATCGGTATTTACCGATTTATACAAAATGAGAGGAAAGAAGTACTTTGTACTTGATTATTTGTGAGGGTAAATACAACCACCCATCTAAAAATATATCGAGTGAGGACAACCACCCATACAAATTTAATTGCTACAGACCCACTACCCATACAAAAATATATGAAGTGCCGTCCAACCCTCCCATACATTTTTTCCTGGGATAGCCCTTATGTAATTGCATATTTTGGTACAGAGGTTGTGCTCTATATCATATATTGAAAAAATACTTCTTCAACTTTTGGCCATTTTTAAAGGAATATACAGGATATGAGAAAAATGATGCATTTATAATGTCATAATGCATTGACTAGAAAGAAAATTACGTCATGTTCAATAGATGCACGGTCACAAAGGGTCCCAGTAATAAATACTGTATTGTCAACCACAACTGAGCAGTTTCGATTTTTCAGATATTCTAAGGGCCAAAAAAGGCCCTAAGTGGCCCTTGCTCTTTGCATTTATTATCATACAATGTATGTATACCTTGTCATCGGTAAACCATCTTTGGGTGATGTTAAAGAGTTCCTTTCTTGAATTGTGATCTATCTTAAATGTAAATATAAACAAAACATAAATGTAAATGAGAACAAACTGTAATGATATGAAATAGCAAAAATATGTGGATTTCTATAATAACAAATTTTAATACATCTTTACATTGCACATTAACATTTGTAAACTCTAAATTTGACAAATCAATTTGCCTTAAAATGCCTTAAAGAAAGATCTCTTTTTCTTTTTTTTAAAAAAAACATGCATGTTTAGATACCTTTTGCAAAAGCGATTTGATGGCAAGTGCTGTGAGTTTTCTACACTTTGTGGATTCATCATTAACAAGAGCTGCAGACATAGGTATAAAGAACATTCCTGCATGATCATTCAAGATGTTCTGGAATATAATGCATCTATATCAAAAAGATATCTTTTTCACAGCAAACACTCTTAAAACATATGTACTTCATGCTCTTTCTAAATAAATGTACAGTGACACTTGTTTAATTTGGATGACACTTGTTAAATCTGGATGGCATTATTCCGAAATCTTGCCAAATTCAATTGTTTAAAATGTTGTCTAATCCAGAATGTTGTCTAATCCATTAAATTTCTTTGGAACCAATGGTGCCTGGATTAGAAAAGTTTTACTATTATAAATACCTGAGGAAATGAAGAAAATATAGTGGCCAACATTTCCAAAGCAGATTCGCGTCCCATCTCCATCTCATAAGACAACTGTGTGACATAAAACTCCAGGTGTTTATCAAGGAGCTTTCCCAGGGGATATTCCAGGATGTACTGCAGGGCTATCTGTATTACAGCAAGAACTAAAGTTATAATTATGTGTATTTTTGTAAAGTATCAAAAATATGGGGAAAAGATCTAGGGCAACAAGAAAATATTAGCTACAAACATTTCAAACAAATCTTTTTTTCAAAGGAGTTAAAATATAACTTCCCCGCCCTTGTTACCTGTCTACACTCCCTCCTGACATGGGGAGAGTCAGCTGTGATGGACATACCCTCCACCTTCTTTATCAACTCCAACACTTCTGGGACGTTCAACTTCCTAGACAATATGGCCTACAAAAATTTCAAGATATTTATTTTCAGTTTTACACTAAATATTTCAAAGTAATTGGAAATCAAAATTCAACGTGATAGAGAAAAAAAATCACCAGGTATTTTACCTTTAAAAGAGAGAAGGCAGTGCTCTGTCTGTTGTAATCATACAAGTCTTCTTCACAGAAAGTCAACAGAACTTGGAGTTGTGTTTGATTCAGTTTGTAAATCTTCACATCTCTTACCAATACCGTCACAGCCTACATAAATGCACATACAATTTAGAAAAAAAAAATAGGGGGTGGATACATTTGTTTATCTTTTCATTTTAAATACTCTATTGAAAATATTTAAAAAATCAAGAGTACTGGTAAGAGTTGTGATAAGATGCACAGTTTTACCTTAAATGCCATAGAAATTAGCTCTAAGTTCTCTCCCTTAGAAGCACCTGCTGAGGCATAATTTTTCAGAATAACAAACATTCCATTGGCCAGTTTCCTGATGTTATCATCCACAGATGGTAATTTGAATTTCAGTAACCAACACAAACATCTCAGACTTAAGGTGTTAATCTAAAAATATATTGATGTTTTTAAACAATTAGGTTACATTGACAGTATTTTTATCCTGAGGGTCAATCAGTCAATTCCTTTCAACAATTGTCTATGAATTTAGGTCACCTCACATTGTTCTATATAGACTTACCCTGATATGCTTAGAATGCAGACAGTCTACTAAGATGGTGATAAAAGGGTCCACTAATTTACAGTGGTTTTCCTCTGTTGCCACCAAGCGGCCTCTCTTTAGACACAGACACAGAAGCTGGAGACCAAACTCCACCAAGACATGGATGTTCGTCTTCTTACTCAGTTTGGGTTTGTCACCTCCACGCTTGGGTTCCTCTGGTAACAGGAGACAACTTGAAGGTCTAAAGGACTGGGTCTCCTTTTCTTCAGTTTTCTTCTGCTTGCTGAAAATATTTTCCCAAAATTAATAATCCCCTATTCAAAACAATATTCTTTTTGGTAAAATCTGATTAACATTTCTCACATTCAGATAAAAAGATGTACATATATGTACATTGTAGAAGCTGCCTTTGAATAAATTAATTCAACTACCTCTGTTTGTCAGATAGTTGTGGAAATGACTGAGTGATTAATCCATGGGTAAATATCATCAGAGACTCTGTATCCAGACCTGGGTTGTCCAGTAATCCTGTCACCACTTTCTTTAGGACTTCCTGTACCTTTCTTGCTACAGTGTGGCTGTGTGTAGAATCAAGAACCTAGAAGAAACAAATTTTTCCCAGAATCCTTAATCAAGTGCAGCATATGTTAACACTGTGCAATGTACATGATACATTAAATTACAAGGGCACTGCAAAAGAGACTCTCCTTCTTCCCCAAAGAAGATTCATTCATTACAAAGTTAAAGTTTAAATGATACATGTATCCTCTTGAAATTCATAATTGTGAGTTAGTATAAAATGATTTTGAACCTATTGCCACTTTTATCATAGAATTTCTAAATCTTAATATCAAGAGGAATTTTGGGAAACAAAAAAACAAGAGGCCAAAGGGTCTTGAATCACTCTTCTGATAAACTGTACAACCTATCACTTCTATTTGAAGCCTCTAAGTATCCTGTATATTTAGATAAAGCCTTGAAATTCCAAACATTCTCGAGAGGGAAGTTAAACAACAAACAAACAAACAAAACATTAAACTCATTAATTAATCTTTAACTGGTTGCATGTTCACTCATTACTCCCAAGGGACAAATGGAATTACACTATCTGCTGTGTAATGCACTGTGATTCTGTAGTACAATAGAAAATGCATATTTATGTAATTCTGTTTAAAACAAAGATTTTTTTTCTTAAATTTGTTACAAAGCTTTATATTAAGGGGGAAAAAAGAACTGTGTAATCTTGATTCAAATTTTTTTAATAGGGTTACTGCATGACTCTTAGATTTGTAGGGACTATCTACCCAAAAACTTTTTTTAATACTTGGTGATTTTTTCTTAATTTTAATGAGTGGTTTAAGGCTGCAATACACATTTTTGAAGAGATGTACTAATTGGCAGTTCTAGATTTTATGTCTCAAACATACATGAAGCCAAAACGACTTAGTCAATAAAAATGAAAAAAAAACTTGTAAAATGCAGATAAATTGTCCAAGCATGATGAAAATACCAATCTTGACATGGTGAATAATGAGTATACAAATTTTCAGACAAATCCATGCAATAGTCTCCAAGAACAGGTGTGGACAAAATCATGTCTACAGACAGACAGACAGCAAGACAGATGGACAGATATATTCCAATATATCCCCCCCTAAACTTCGTTTGCAAGGGGGGGATGATAAAAAGAATTATGTTGATAACGATGAGTGTTGATGTAGCAATACTATTCGCAAGCGAGTTAAGGCTAAGTATAGATGTTCCTATGCAAATGAACTAATTAAAATGTATAATGGCTGTACCTATCATACAGAAAACATTCAAACTTATTTTCTTATACAGACTAGGTACCCATGACATGTAATAGGCAGTACATATTATGACATCATATTATGACGTCATTGTTCTCTACTACACAAAGTTAAGTTTTAAAGAACATCAACAATATAGCTTTAGCGCAAGGGCATACCCTATTTAATTTTATAGAAACAATGTAAAATTAGAAGCAGAATATTCCAAATATCAACAGTTCTACTATTTAGTTACTTTTTGTAAAAACTTGAGTTGAAACAGGGTAAAAATTTACAGTTTGGTGTAAGTTTCCTCAGATTCTTATCTAATGTGAAAGTGCATAGGATTTGTGCAGCAGTTTTATTAATCTTTAGAATATTCTTCTTAGCATTATACATTATTTATGTAAAATCAAATAGGATATGCCCTTGCGCCGAAGCTGTTTTGTTGATGTGTTTTATAACATCGAGTTGTAAGGATTAATGATGTCATAATGTGCACTAGCTATATCATATCCTGGGTACTAAGTATGTATTAGAAAATTAGTTTAGACTTTCTCTGTATAATAGATATATCTCAGTAATATTGTAAAAAAAACTGTAAAATCAGTGTGTTGAAAAATTCAGTGTTATACAACTTGCAACAAATATATACAATGCTAGTACATAGATTGATGTGTAAAAAGTTTTCTGGCTAGCCAGAAATTTTGCAACCATTCATTCCCACATGAGAAAAGAGAGCATTTTATCTAAATATTTTCCTGCATAAACAAAACAGCATTCATCATTCCTGCAAATGTAAAATCATGACAATGTCTAACCTCTTTCAGTGGAGTGATGAATGCCATGAGTGATTCTTTACTGATGACTTGAGCTAGTATTTTGTACGAGTCGTAACTCTTCATAGACCTGGCCTCAAACAGTTTACTAGTAACACCAGCAACCTCCTTCTCTTCTGCCACTTGTCCAAATAAATCTTCATGGAAAACCTGATGGAGAAAAAAAAAGAAACGAACATAAACACAAACTAATTAGGGTGCAATGAACCAATTAGAATGTTGTAACTGTCTTGTCTGTCCTATCTTGTCTATCATGCTACAAAGAAGTTTTATATTTTGAAGTAATATGTTTTGGTGCAAACATTACAGCCATGTGTTTTGAAAACTAAGTCAAACAAGGTCATGAAGTTACTAGAAATATGTCCATAGGACATGAATGCCCCGCTGAGTGTATATCAGTAATGTGACATGAAAATTTGTATTAGTGTATGAAGTTTGATGAGAATATCTTCAATAGCTTCTTTAAAACTGAAACTGAAATCTACAAAATTGGATATAGATGATAAATTCTCACCAAATTATGTATAAGAGCATAAGCTTACATAAAAATATCTTTAATGGTTTTTTTAAAGAGGTTCATTTCTGAGCTTTTGATGAGATTTTTGTCTTGAGCTCTATTTAAAAAAAAAATTGCATAAATTTTTAGTTCTTCCTTTAAATTTGGATTCTACAATGCAAATTAAACTATATTCATTAAAAACCCCATGATTAAATTCCATACCAAAAGTATTAAGTGAGGAACTATATTTTGTGGCAGAAGGTTTTTTTGAAGAAAATGATGAATTTTTCTCTTTTGAAGTACATGTATTTGAATTATTGTAAGTTTGGATTCCTATTTTTCCATGCAGCCATAGAGTTACTCTGTACAGTGAACTGTTTTATGCCGGTCCTATATTATATATTACATTAACTGTCATGAATTCTAATATCATATTAGACAAATATAGCAAATATATTTTGAAAGTCCAGAAAAAAAAATAGCCCCAATTTAAGCTTAGAATTAACACTTTATTATTAATATCTAAAAATTAACATCATAGACCTCCACTTTTAATTTTCTTTTCTGAATATATAAGATAATTTTAACCAATCTGCTTAAATTCAGTAAGATGACATTACTTTGAAATGATTTTATTGCTTGTTAAATTTTTAATGCCAGAAAAAATTACATTTTTTTTAGTGCAGAAAGGTCAAATATTTGACCATACAAAGTAATTTGAAACTTTTTGGTGTCTCAAATTTAAATGTGTCTATTCAAGATGAAATAAGACTGTATTTAATCCCTTTAGTTATCTGAATAAAAAACATCTAGGTAATCAAAGATTACGAAGCTCACCTTGACGAGTGTTATCTATAAGTAATGCAAATTTCACATCATATTTTTTTTCCAGTTAGTGTACATCCAAAGATCAATATCCATGCAAGTTTGATTTAAGTAGGACTTATAGTTACTTGGAAATAGACCTGTTCAAAAACTTTTAACCTGTTTCTACTCAAGAAAATTTTGGTCAGTTTAAAAATCCAAAGCAAGTATGGAAGTTTTCATCCTTAGATGCACCATCTCTACAAAGTTTATCATAACAGGCAATAATGTTATACAGCTACTCCAAAAAATTATCTTGGTCACTCATCTGGAAAATGTAGGTCAGATTCAGAATCCAAAGCAAGTCTGGAAGTATCCCTCCCTAGATACATTATCCATGCTAATTTGGTTAAAATATGGCTAAAATTCACTCATTTGGAAAATCTAGGTTAGATCCAGCATCCAAAGCAGATGAGTTACTGTACATCCCTAGATGCATCATCCATGAAAGTTTGGTCCAGGTAGGGCTTATAGTTAATTGGGAACGGACCTGCTCCAAAAATATTTAACCTGGTCACTCATGTGGAAAATCTAGGTCAGATCCAGCATCCCAATCAAATGTGGTAGTGTCCATCCCTAGATGCATCATCCATGCAAGTTTGGTCTAGGTAGGGCTTATAGTTACTTGGGAATGGACCTGCTCCAAAAACGTTAACCTGGTCACTCATCTGGAAAATCTAGGTCAGATCCAGCATCCGAAGCAAGTGTGGTAGTGTCCATCTCTAGATGCATCATCCATGCAAGTTTGGTCTAGGTAGGGCTTAAAGTTACTTGGGAATGGACCTGCTCCAAAAACTTTAACCTGGTCATCTGGAAAATCTAGGTCAGATCCAGCATCAGAAGCAAGTGTGGTAGTGTCCATCCCTGGATGCATCATCCATGCAAGTTTTGTCCAGGTAGGGCTTATAGCTACTTGGGAATGGACCTGCTCCAAAAACTTTAACCTGGTCACTCAAGTGGAAAATCTAGGTCAGACCCAGCATCCGAAGAAAGTGTGGTAGTGTCCATCCCTAGATGCATCATCCATGCAAGTTTTGTCCAGGTAGGGCTTATAGTTATTTGGGAATGGACCTGCTTCAAAAACTTTAACCTGGTCACTCATGTGGAAAATCTAGGTCAGATCCAGCATCTGAAGCAAGTGTGGTAGTGTCCATCCCTAGATGCATTATCCATGCAAGTTTGGTCCAGGTAGGGTTTATAGTTACTTGGGAATGGACCTGCTCCAAAAACTTTAACCTGGTCACTCATGTGGAAAATCTAGGTCAGATCCAGCATCCGAAGCAAGTGTGGTAGTGTCCATCCCTAGATGCATTATCCATGCAAGTTTGGTCTAGGTAGGGCTTATAGTTACTTGGGAATGGACCTGCTCCAAAAACTTTAACCTGGTCACTCATGTGGAAAATCTAGGTCAGATCTAGCATAAGAAGCAAGTGTGGTAGTGTCCATCCCTGGATGCATCATCCATGCAAGTTTGGTCCAGGTAGGGCTTATAGTCACTTGGGAATGGACTTGCTCCTAAAACTTTAACCGGGATGCTGACGCTAACACCGACGCCGACACTGACGCCAACACCGAAACCGACGCCGGGGGTAAAGCATAAGCTCATCTCGACTTCATCGAGGTGAGCTCAAAATTGGGGGGAAAACTTTGAAAAATTGATTTGTGTTAGACATAATTACAGTGCAAAAAGGTCATATTAAATGCTCTTAAGCACCAAAAGAAGCACATTAAGCCCCACTTTATTTTTATTTTTAATTGAGCTCTGTGTGTAGATTCTAAAAATATACTTGATAAAAAAATTCTCAATACTTTTGATAGCAGGATTCCAAGGTACTTAAAACTAAGCGAAATGCAATTAAAGAAAAGTGATGTCAAGGTCACAAGAAAGTGCAAGGTAAAAAGTTTTTGATGCGGTTGAATAGCTCTCACTAATACATATCAGCATATTAAGTTTGATAAAAATATCTTGAATGGTTTATTTAAAAACTGAGTTAAACATTAATTTAGAAACATAGGTAATCAGAGATTACAGAGCTCACCTCAACGAATGTTGTCTTTAAGTAAGGCAAAGTCCCACACTAAACTAATAATCTAGGAGTGTGCATCCCTAGATGCAACATTTTTGCAATTTTGGTCTGATAGGGCTTGCAGTTACTTGGGAATGGACTTATCTGAAAACTTAAAACTAGACACTCATTCAGAAAATGTAAGTCAAATCCAGCATCCGAAGCAAGTTTTGAGATTGTTCGTCCCTTGATGCATCATCCATGCAAGTTTGGTTCAGATAGGCCTTATAGTTACTTGGAAATGAGATCTGCTCCAAAAACTTTAATCTGGTCACTCATCCGGAAAATATAGGTCAGATCCAGCATCCGAAGGAAGTCCAGTAGTGTGAATCCTAAGATGTATCATCCATGCAAGTTTGGTCAATATAGGGTTTATAGTTACTTGGATATGACATCTGCTTCAAAAACTTTAACCTGGTCAGTCATCCAGAAAATTTAGGTCAGATCCAGCATCCAAAGCAAGTCCAGTAGTGTGCATCCTTAGATGTATCATCCATGCAAGTTTAGTCAATATAGGGCTTATAGTTACTTGGAAATGAGATCTGCTCCAAAAACTTTAACCTGGTTACTCATCTGGAAAATGTAGGTCAGATCCAGCATCCGAAGCAAGTCCAGTAGTGTACATCCTTATATGTATCAACCATGCAAGTTTGGTCAATACAGGGTTTATAGTTACTTGGAAATGACATCTGCTCCAAAAACTTTAACCTGGTCACTCATCTGGAAAATATAGGTCAGATTCAGCATCTGAAGCAAGTCCAGTAGTGTGCATCCTTAGATGTATCATCCATGCAAGTTTGGTCAATATAGGGCTTTTAGTTACTTGGAAATGAGATCTGCTCCAAAAACCTTAACCTGGTCACTCATCCGGAAAATATAGGTCAAATCCAGCATCCGAAGCAAGTCCAGTAGTGTGCATCCTTAGATGTATCATCCATGCAAGTTTGTTCAATATAGGGCTTATAGTTACTTGGAAATGAGATCTACTCCAAAAACCTTAACCTAGTCACTCATCTGGAAAATGTAGGTCAGATCCAGCATCCGAAGCAAGTTCAGTAGTGTGCATCCTTAGATGTATCATCCAAGCAAGTTTGGTTTATATAGGGCTTATAGTTACTTGGAATTGAGACCTGCTCCAAAAACCTTAACCTGCTCCAAAAACCTTAACCTGCTCCAAAAACTTTAACCTGCTCCAAAAACATTAACCTGGTCATTCTTTAGCTGAAATTGCAGCATCTGAAACCTTGACTGGTACGATGTAACACACCAGAAGCATCCTCCATGCATCTCTGACTAATATAGGCCATAGAGGTACTTGAAAAGAAAACTGCTCCAAAAACCTTATCCTGGGACGCCGACGCCGAGGGTATTACATAAGCTCCCCCAACTTCATTGAGGTGAGCTAAAAAAGTAAGGTAAAGGTCAAAGGAAAGGTCGAGTTCAAAAAATGTTGATGCAGTTGAATAGCTTACATCAGTATGTATTGGCATATGAAGTTTGATAAAAATATCAGGAATGGTTTCTTTAAAAGTGACCTAAACACTAATTCAAGAAAAGTGATGTCAAGGTCAAAGGAAAAGTCAAGGTCAAAAATGTTCATGCAGTTGAATAGCTTACATCAGTATGAATCAGCATATAAAGTTTGATAAAAAAATATCTTAAATGGTTTATTTTAAACTAAGCTAAATACTAATTTAAGAAAAGTGAGGTCAAAGTCAAAGACAAGGTCAAAAAATGTTGATGCAGTTGAATAGTTTACATCATTATGTTTCAGCATTTGAAGTTTGATTACACAAACTTGAATGGTTTCTTTAAAACTGAGCTAAACACTTATTAAAGAAAAGTGTAGTCAAAGTCAAAGGAAAGATCAAGGTCAAAAAATGTTGATACAGTTGAATAGCTTACTTCAGTATGTATTGGCATATGAAGTTTGATTACACAACTTGAATGGTTTCTTTAAAAGTGAGCTAAACACTAATAAAGAAAAGTGAGGTCAAGGTCAAAGAAAGGTCAAGGTCAAAAAATGTTGATGCAGTTGAATAGCTCTCATCTATATCTATCAGCACATGAAGTTTGATAAAAATATCTTGAATAGTTTTTTTTTGAAACTGAGCTTTGAATTGAGTGAAACACAAAGTGTGACGGAAGGACAGATGGGAGGACAGAAGGATGGAAGACGGACATGACAAAACTCTATATGCCCCAGCCATATTCATGGATTCATAAATTTAAAATTTTTGGAAACTAGAAAAGGTTTTGTCAAGGGTAATGCACAAGTACTAGAAGAATTTAAAAGGTTTTCTTTAATAACTGTATGATAATTCCTTATCATTTCTAAACTGAGGCCTACATCTCCCACTGGCTTTCATTTTTTGCTCATCTTGCTGATTAAATAATATATCACTGTGAACAGATAGTAAGTATATATATTTTAATGTATCTGTGTTTTACTTGTCTTTTATTTGGAAAATTAATATTCACAACAATAAGCTACGGAGAAAAAAAGTCTTCTTTACAAGCATGTTTCAATTTTACTCACATCTTGAAGACTCTTCCTGCAAACATCTAGTTCTCCTGGTTTAAGCACAGGCAACAAATTCTTAAGCAGCACATGAACAGTGTAGCACAGAACATGGACCTGTTGAACATGAACAAATACAGTAAAGAATGATTTTAGAATCAATACCTTCATTGGGTTAACTCAAAAAAAAAAGCTTGAGACTATTTAATGCATCTGGCATATCAATTGTAGAAAATTATGAAATTCAATATTACAAAAAAATTCAATGATGTAGTACATGTATTCAAATTATTCAAAATGTTAAACTAAAAAGGTTTTATTACCTGATACCCTTTCCTCAATGTTCCTCTAAGTTCTGACAAAATGTATGGAAAAAATCTTGGTCCAAGGGAAGTGGTAATCTTCACTAGTGTATCCCTAGCAGTGTTTCTGATGTCCACAGCTCTAGACTTCATAAAATTACACACTTTCAACAGGATTCTAAAAAAAAAAACACAAAGTATGAATACTTTTTCAGAAATCTTAATACTCCTATACATATTTTTCTTCATAAACTCTAAAAAGACATATTGATAGTACAGTTAATAGGGATGAATACAGTCAAACTTGTCTAATCTGGATGTTGTGTATTCCAAAATCTTGTCTATTACAATGTAAACTTCAAGTCCCTTTCAATTAATTCAGATATCTCATACTGTCTAATCTGGAATGTTGTCTGATTAGGCATTTTTTTAGGAACCAGAGGTGTCAGGATTAGACAAGTTTTACTGTATGTGTAATTTGTGAATTTGACCAGACTAAACACTTACCCTGGAAGGTTCCGCTCCAGTGATTTATGAGGAAGATTCTGTAACAATTTTATCATAGCTAGAGCTATAGGCACTCTCAGTACTTCACTGTCCTCTGCCAAATTATTCCTAGCCAGCTTGTGTTCATCTTCATTCTTCTCCTACAAAAATATCACATTAAAAAAAAACTGTCTAGTACTATACAAATTTCTATTATTCTTTTATTGTCTAGATCAGTGTACAGTGCATGTGGTGCCAAGTTAAACCTGTAAATACAGTTGCTCCTTGCTCATTCTGGATTGAATTCACCACATTAAATAATTTTTTTGAGGAAATGATTCTATTGCCTATATGCAATGTTTCAGATATCTTGGCATATTTTTTATGCATAACTTTACATGAAAATGCAGAAATTATCATCAAAGCATACATGAAATGTTTAATAATAAAATGTACCTTCTTTGTAAGACATCTCTGTAAGCTAGGGATAACTGACTTCATTATGGTACAGTGAATTCTAGTGGCCTGACCAACTGAACATATCACAATGGAATCAAACTGTTTTGTTTGAGAGCCAGAGTTTGTTTCCATGGTTTCATCAGTTTCCTCTGGAACTGTGGGTATTGCATCTACAGTTTCCTCTGTGTTTTCTGCTTCTTGTTCTTCATTTTCAAAAGGATTTGGCTCCTCTATAAAAGAGGTTTTATTCAATGTACATGTATGAGATAAATTGTGGTTTCCTAACTTACACTGTACATATAAATGTGCATACAGTTCTTTCTGCAGAATTTTTAGAATCATTAATGTCTATATGTAGGTGTGGTTTGGTTCTTTTTACAAAATCTTGTACCTGTTATTTCCCCTTTAGCTTTTTTCTTTGCAACAGAATCTGGTAAATTGTTCACAGAATGTTGAGAATTTCTGAGGTCAAAGTGGAATGCATCCAGAATACCAACAATCACCCTACAATAAACAAATCAATATATTATGTACATATTTTATTTATAACAGAATTTTCTGTAGTTAAAAATATTCCTTTCAAAAATAATACAGTAATGTAAAATGTACTGAAAATATTCTTTATACCTGACCAAGAGTTTTTTCTTCTCAAACTTCTTTGACAACAAGGACAGAAAGTATTTCAGCTGATTTATATAAACATGCCAAGGTAGTTGTTTACACAGAACTCCCATGGCATCTATGGCACTTTCTTGCAGACCCTGGGCTTTTGTAAAAGTCTCATCAAGCAGGAAGGAAGAGGTTAGGGGAAGTAAATAAGAGACCAGGATCTCTTTACGAACAGATCGAGACTGTAATGTCCTGTTCATCTTTTTTAATGCTCTCGATCGTCTGTGTGTCTGTAATGAAGCAAATGAAAGTTTTAAGATCCAGGCCTGAAATATTCTTTTTAATTATCAATTAATAACCTCTGCAACCATATACATACTATATTTGTAAGTTAAGTACATGTGTATTTAAAACAGATAAAACAAGAAGTCTGTGAGCCAATGCTCACTAATAATACCCCCGCTCTGATGTGAATACACAAGTTCATTTATGGACAGACACAGGGATAAACAGGAAGTTGACATCGGATTCATACAAATATGAAAACCCATCATATGACATGCCTAAACAAAGAGTGTTCTACACTTTCAAGCATCTGCGATGAGTAGTTGCTGAGAAAACTGCGACTAAAATTTGTTATGTATGGTACGGACAGACGCACGGATAAACAGGAAGTTGACATGGGATTCGCACAAAAATGAATCCCATCATATGGCATGCCTAAACAAAGAGTGTGCTAAAATTTCAAGCATCTGCAATGAGTAATTGCTGAGAAAACTGTGACCAAAATTTGTTACGGACAGACACACAGCTAGACAGATGGACAGACAGGCAGACACACAAGGGTAAAACTGTATACCCCCTCTCCTTCGGAGCAGGGGTATAATAACATTTTTTTTTATGATGGCAAATTGCGGTGCTAATTCAACAATACACTGTCTTTCAAATATTTATTTTTCCTAAGTAATACTTTCAAAAGCCATCTACAGTAACAAGTACCTAACAAACACAGACATTGTGAATTCATTTTTACAATGAACAAAAAAACGTTCTGCCAGTACTAGAAATAGTGAATTATTACTACTGTATATAACAATTACAGATTAAAACACAAAGCAATTTCAGCTGCTCCTGGCACTTTGTTACACAAGTAACTGTGTTTTACTGTAAGTTTACCTGGATGTGCCGTATATTTTCAAAGAAATCAGCCTCTACGTCTTTGTCCTTGAGAATCACAAGGTCAGCAAACATGTCATGTGATGGGAATGTATCCACCAGTACAGATAGAACAGCAATGAACTCATGTCGCACATGCTACAAAGAATTTTCAAGAAATTTCAAAGTACATGTATTTCAACTCACAAACCTATAAAAACATTTCTTATATAATTTTAACATTATTTTAAGTAAATGATACTTCACAGTTTTTTTCAAACTTTACATATATACATGTAATTACTTTTATTCATGAAACACAAGTATTTCATTTAATGAGTATATTGTAAGTGTCTTTATGATTAAATATTGCCAAAAATTTTAAAAAAAAAACTTCTAAAGTTTGAAATTCAAGCTTCATCTTTTTACCTCTTTTTTGTTCCTAAAGCCTGCTTTGACTTCATGAATAAGTCCATTAGAAATCAGATCTCTGAAAACATCCTGGTCATAGGTCAGACGACTGAATTGCTTCACCATGGTAACCAGTGTGTGGGTGGCATTATCCCTCAATGACATATCATCTATCTGCTCAGATTAGAACATCATTAATCAATTGAAAATTTAGGAATCTTTTCTATACATGAAATTACTGTCATCTTCTTCGGAATTTTCCAAACTTAACATAAAACATGTAAATAGGAAAATTGCAATTTTCTACCAAAAAGAGTTTTTTTTTTCTTGACTGTATACTTAAAAAAAATTGCTAAATGTATGTTGTAAGTTATAGTGTAACTATTGAATAGTCGCAATAAAAGGAAGATGCATACATTTTTGATGCAATAGCAACAAGAATGGAGAACAGGAAGCAGGAAGTCCACATCTAATTCATCCTCCATCCCTTTGATGGCCTCATTAACTTTCTTGTGAGCATTCAGTCTTTTCATGTAATCTGGCTCCTCTGTGTGTTTGGGGTCCCAGGCATTTAACTGTTTAATTGTATTATCAAAATATTTAATTTAACAATTTCAATTTAAATTTAAAGTGTTAATTTACCGATTTACAGTCTCACTAAATTTTGTGATAAATAATGCAAGACTACCCACCTCTGATAAAAGCTGTGCTATCTCTTGTAATTCTTCATTATTCTCTGCAATAACCTAAATGAACAAAAAACCTACTGTTAAAACAAAATTCATGCACCTAAGAAAGACACATACAAAATATATTTTGTTTATTTTTTTTTTATAACATGTAGGAGTAATGAGAGAAATGTTTTTGTTATTAAGTTTTGAATTATACCTGAATTAGTTGGCAAAGCAGAATTCTGGACTGGCGATTCTGAATGTAACCAAATAGCTGGCAGAATGATCTAGGATATGAAATAAGACCAGCATTCATATCTTATTTTGCATTTGATTACATGCAATTTGCTACCAGGAGAAATTTTAAATTTCAAATTTAAATGTTTGATAACAAATGAAAAATCACCTGTAGAACTTTTTCTTGTCCTTGACTTTGTCCACCAGGTTCCTGATACTGGTCAGAATGTTGACCTCAGTGTCAGGTAGTCTACTAAGCCCCTCCCCAAGAAATGGGAGAAGCAAATCTATCAATGCCAGGCATTCTGATTGGTCAGTTACAAATTCACTGATTCTGGAAGCAAATGAAAAGCTGTCAAATTTGCCATGCTCATGTACAATTTAATGTCCCTCTAAAAAAATTGACTAGTATCTAGATCATTCTATTGTACATTTTAAAGTTGTAAATTAATAATTGCTTTATATTAGTTGAAAGAATCCAACAAAGTGACATTACCATTTCACAAAATTTAATAATTAATTAAGTTTCTGTACAAAATTTACAGACTTTATCAATTTTTACCTTGACAAAATAGACAACTCTTTTCCTGCTGTTTGTGACCTTTTACCATGACCTTTGATACTTTTTATAGCCTTCTGTAGGTATGTCAAGATATCTGACACATGTGGTTTCAGTAGTTCTGCTCCAAACTGTCCTATTTCTGATACTGCAACAATGAAAAACTATTAAACTAATGGCTCATAAAACATAAATAAATCATATCTCTAACTGAAATGCCAACTATTTGCAGTATTTGTGAATTTTCTAAGTACTCAAACTGATGCTCACTGCTAGAAGGAAAAATTTATAAATACATGTATTTTTATTACGACATACGTGTTAATAAACACCACTTCTGAAGCAATAAATAATATATCACAAGACTGTTTAGAAAAATAATTTATCATTAACATTCATAAGGATTACCATTTATTTGCACCATTTTGTTGACCTTGACTGGTGTTGCCATGGTGAGGTTTTCCACTTCCTCTTCCTCCTCCCCTAACAACAGGTTGTTAAGCATCTCAATGATGAAGTCGGTCACAGTTTTGTTTACTTCCTTGGCATTCAGAAGCTTAAGAACTGCACTTACTGGGGTCAAGTCAGGGTCAGTATCATGACACTTTGCCAACAATGTCAAATATCTGAAACATTAAATCCAAACCCAGATTTTCGTTATTAGTTACACATTCAAATGGATTGAAATTGTTAAGGATAAGGGTAAATACTGATACACAACTGCAATTTACAAATATTTTGACCGACTTGCTAAAATATAGAGAAAACTTTTTAACAATGAAGTAAACATGGCAAAGTATCATATTTCTTTCTTGAAAACCCAAAAGGTGCTTTTGAAATTTGATGTCTGCTTAAAAAGCCACAATATTTTTACTGTATACTAAAAAGCAAAATACTTTTTAAATAACAATCAATACCTCCTGTTTGCTGCACACATATGTAGGAGTTTAAGAAGGGGTGTTGGGTGATAGATTCCTTCATACTGAAGTTTGGGTAGCTAGAAATGAAAACATAAATATTAGAGAACATACAAAAATGCACTCTAATAAATATTTAGAATGCAAAAAGAAAAAAATCCAAAAATCATTTAAATTTTGTAAATTTATCTTTCATGGGACAAAACCAAAACATTTTTTCCCACAAATACATAATTTTCCATGTATTTATTTTTCATGAAAACTCCACCTACATAATACTGATAAGATTCTATGGAATAAAGTGTTATTTACATATGGGGTAGTTTAGCTATATCTTTCATCAATTACCTGTGGCCAGACAGCAACATGAAACATGGCATCTATCTCTTTTGGTGAAAACTTATAGGTGTCAAACACATCATAGAACTGCAATGAAAAATCAAACAATACTTTAAAAGCCCCTATTAGAGAAAATACAAAATATTAATTAAAGAAGTTGAGTATACCTTGCATTTCAAACACACACACATACATAACTGTGAACAACTATATCTAACAAAACAGCTAACACAAAGTATGTTTAAAAAATTTTACCTGCATTATCTGAGTGATACATAACTGCCTGATGTTTTTGAGGGGTTTGAGGGCCCCTGGGGATATCCCTTCCCTTCTCTCTAGACAGGCCACACAGGTAGCAGTTAATCCCAAGAGGATACAGTGTAGGGAAGGGAGGTAACCCTCAATCAGGTGCCCCAACTTCTTTACAATCATATCCACTGTATTCAATGCCCTGAGAGGTTGGAAAAGGATATACATGTAATTAATGACCCTAAGCTACAATACATTGTTACTGTTAGTACGACCTTCATCAACTATAAAATGAAATCATCACAAAATTCTACAATGTACATGTATCATCACAACTCTAGCCTTCATCTTATTGGGAGGGTTCAAGCTTGCTTTTTTTAAGAACCACTGACTTGCTCTACAAATCTATATTTGAAGTACATGTAAGACATTTTGCTACATTGTGTCACACTTCAGCCTTTCATGATTGTATTGAATAACAAAATTGTTTTTATAGCACGCAGTAATTTACCCATTCATTTTCCTCAGAGGAATCACTTGGGATAGATCAATTTCTTTTTCTGTTTTACACACCATAGTCAGAGCATCATCTACAAATAGAAGCATTATTAAGCACCTTGTAAATATTATAGAGTAAGGCCTGAAGCCAAAGCCCTTTTGCCAAATACTCTTTATATTCTTTAACGAATCGAGTACATGGAATGAAATATGAACTTTTTAAAATCTTTATCTCTTAAATACATGTTATTTCAATCACCAAACTCACCAGAGACAAAGTGTTTGAAGCTCTCAAACACCATGTCCATAAACTTGATAATTTCCTCTCCACTGCAGCCACTGAGGAATCGGAACACTATGGACCTTCTGAACTGACTGTGGGACTTCCCTGCCGAGTCCTTTCCTGTCTTACTGTGCATCTTTCCATAAAGTATCCTGTGAATGTCATACATGTTACAGTCTATGAAGAATGCTCTCAGATGAGCACACTACGGTAAATGTACTTTTTTCCTCATGGTACTATTTTACACTATGAACTTAGTCACAAATTTTCTGGGGAAATTTATCCCAGCATACTTAAAGTACATTAAAGGTGTATAGCTTGGCACTGTAAGAAATCTGCATAATTTTCTACCAGTGAATTTAACAGAAATTTTGATTCTGTGGAATTATATCCCCACGGAAAAAAAGTATGTAAAAACATTACAGTATCTAAATAATCTGAAAGCTAGATAAAGTAACTATAAATTTACACAGAACTGAGAGGCCGATACAGAATAATTGCTTTTAGAATCTGTCTCTAGGGCTCACACACCTCATTAAGATAGGCAGCACCTGGTCTCTGTGTTCTGGGCTCACTATGCTGTTCTCATGATCAATACTGAACAGAACAATCTCTGTCTTAAACTTGGCATCATTCAGCAGGTTCTCAAAATTCTCCCTGTAAATGAAGAAACAATTAAATCTCTACTTACTGTATCTCAAAGTAACTCAAATACAATTATTACAGAAACCTTAGATACTGTATGTATGTCTACTTAATATGTGATCAAACAGATCCTTCATGAACTTACTTGTATGGCACTAGGAATTTATGTTTGTAGGTCATGATGCAACTAAAGGCCACCTTCTGAACTCTGCCATTTTTATGCAATAAAAGCTGTAAACAAGTAATATTGTTTTTTACATATTATTTCCAACACTAAAAGACAAGAAAATACAGTTAAAACAGATTTTTAGCAAGTACCTGTTCATACAGATGTCTGACTTCAGTTTCTCTATATAAGGACTTTGGGCTGGAGAATTTACTGAAGAGTTCCAAATGTACAATAAGGGCACTGAAAGAGGATATCTTTTTTTAATACAATGTACACAAAAACATAAGAAAATCTAATTTTTCTAAAAAAAAAAAAAAAATCTTAACAAAGAAGCACTTATTTAGATTGTAAAGTAATGAGTGAAGAATGATACATGTGCATGAAAATAAAGAGATGTGATCAATATATACATAAAACTCATGTCGAAAGCCGAAAGGTTGAAATACCTAGTAGCTGCCCTTCTTTTGGTCCTAGCACCCTTTGTGTTGCCCCCTTTCTCTTTGGTTTTTCTTTTTCTCTCATCACCACCTTTCTCAGCATCCATTAAATCTTCTTCCCTAGGCAGCAAAACAATATACAACAAATAAGAGACAATTTAACTTTAAATACTGAAAAAATACACTGTACCAATAAAGATCTTCCACAGCTTAACAGTTTGAGCATAAAAAGAACTTAATTTCTGATGTACTACATGTATCTAAATGAGATCTTCAAAAACTGTTAATACATCAGAACAGTTTACAGTTCCTTACAATATAAATTTAGGGTGATATTTAAACCTGACTCATGTTCATCAGTACTTACATATCTGACTTAGACTCAGACTTTCTCCCTTTTCTTCCTTTCTTTCTATCTTTACTTTTCCTCTGAGCCCTGGTTTCCACATGATCCTCTTCTTCTTCTTCCTCTTCATCTAATTCATCCTCTTCCACCTCCTCCTCCTCCTTAGATGACACTTGAGTCTCTTGTCTCTGTAAGTTCTGAGTGGGAGCCGCTGACAAATCCACATTGTAATACTCCATACTGTTAGAATATTCATTCCAACATCTTAGTACAATCAAGTACAGCAATAGTTCTGATATAAGCCTATACATGTATGTATGTAACATACTAAATTGTATTATTGGAACAGGTATCATTGAAGTAGTAAATCTTTCCAAATGATGAAATGAAGTTAATCTTCAGGAAATATACTTTTGTTGCACATTATTTGTGCACAATATACTGTAAAAGCTGCTTACAGCAAACACATTTATAATGAATTGATGCTTACAGCAAAGTGATTTTCATTCCCCCTGACCTTAAAATATATTGTGAACTTAATAGATAACTAATAACGTATATACCAAAGCAAAATCATTCATCCCTAGCATTTGTTATAAGCACGTTTTAAAGTATTATCCTTTTAAGTTGATTTTAATTTTATGTTCTATAATAAATTAAAGTGTACCTCATAAAGTTCAACAACAAAGAAACAAGATCCCTATTTTTCTTTTCACATAAGTCTGGAAACAGATGCATTGACTTCCACAGGTAGAACCTAAAGTTGGCAAAGTCTGGCTTTTCTATACTTTCATGTGATCTACAGCTCTTCACAAAAAGTTGTCTCATGTTATCATCATCTTCCTCCATTGGCTCCTGTTCTGTACTAGGTGTGGAATCTGTCTGGTGTAAAGATTCCTCTAGAAAGAGAGAATATATATATTTGGTATGTTCAATTAAGAAATCTCTAAGTTAGTTCTTTCTTTTAACAGTGATGACTCTGTGAATTGGCCAAAATATCTGAAATAGGTCTAGGGGCTGACAAAATATGGGCTTTAGCAAGCCAAAAATAGGTTTAAATGAATGATAAAAATTGAAGTGTGACAGTTTGTTTAACAACTTTTACATCCCAACCTGACTGAATGAACCGCCACGCCACCATATGGAAGTCTTAATCATCCCCACGTTTGTGTTTACCTTAAAATTATTAGGAGATAAAATCAAACGTCTGGATGGTGCAGACTAGATCAAAACATGGACAAAACAACTTGATATTTTTATCCAGACAAAATGGAAACGGATCACTGCAAAATAGAATGTACCCAAATATTGGAAAACACTCCTAAATATCAGATTTTGGGACTCAAATTAGCGGAATTCCGCTAAATATCGGAACAGAATCATCACTGCTTTTACAGTTTTGTTTTTACTGAAATACCCTATGTCACAACTCTGTTGAATTATTATTTAGAATAGAATAATTGTATTTATTTTATTTAATGAAATGTAAAATGATATAATACACTTTACAAGCTTAAAGTGAAATTTATAGTTCCTACCACACTTTTGAGCTGCATCTTGTAGAACCAGCCTGTATAAATCCCAGAAAACTGTTTTATCTAGGCCCACAGCATGACTAGCAATTAGTTTTGTGACAGGATCCCACAGCAACTTAAAGCCAATGTGCAGAGAACCAATCAAATACTTCAACGGTACCTACAAAATGGAGTAATGCATTGATTGAAATTGTGGTTTTATAAAAGCTACTCAGTTATCTTTTTTTAAAGATCAATCTATATCTAGTTTTTTGTATGTACAGTTGTTACAAAGAAAAAAAAACTTGATAAATCTTTTTTTTAGACTGAAAGGACATTTCTACAGCCAGTCCACAAAAACAGTTTTATTTATGTACAATCAAAATGTGCAAAACAAAATAGACAGAACTTCAAAACTTGGAGAAAAAAAAACTTATTATTTGCTGATCACTGAACAAACACAGCCTTCACTTTACATGTATTTTTTGACTTACTAAAGTAAAAGGCCCCACAGGGATGGACTTCTGGACAATGTCAAACTGCAGCCTCTGCAAAAACATCAGCTTCCATCTGGAGTCCTGTACGCTAAGGGGAACTAACTCTGCCTCAAGACAAATCCTGAATACATCTAGCTGTTCTGTGGCCTGTCAAAAAATTTTACTTAATAAGAAATAGATCATTACAAAATAAATCAGTGATGTTGTCCATAATTTATAATCAGTTTTTTTGTTCATACATGTACTTCTCTTCAAAGCTAATCTATGAACAGCTCAACTGTATCATTCTGTGTCTGATTAAGTATTGTAACTCAAAGTGCTATGTCTGCCATTCTCCTTACCTCGTCTTCTCCTTGTGATGGCAGTCTAAATGAGAACTGCGACAGAATTCTCAGGGTCAGCATTCTGATCTGTTAAGTACAAAACAATAACATACATGTATATACTAAAACTCCATCTACTTTTTTATTAACATTACCACTGTTACTGGTAATATTGACAAAAATCACCTGCAAAAATACCCATTTGCAGGTATCTAAAAACAGATCTTTTCCACTCTAATCATTCAGTAATCAGTTCAGTGAATCAAACCTTTGAGAAAGGAGAGGAAATATTTTTTTCAAGTATGGGGTAAACTTGTAAGAAAGTATCCTCAGATGTGATACTGCTGCTGCCATCTAGTGAGGCTTGTGTGAAGTAAAGGTCAGTTAACTCTAGGGCTGTCACATGATCAGAAAAACATCTGTAAACAAAGATAGAATTATAAATATCAAAAGCAATTCAATGTTCTGCAATTTTTAACAAAGAAGGGGTGTTACTGATTCTGTAATTTACATTAAAATTTTTATTTTATCGTTTTCATTCAGTTCAATATCACAGGCTGATTTTAATTCTTTCTTTACACATAAATCAGATGTCTTATTCGGAAAAAAATATTAGATACTAAGGTGTTAACAATAAGCTGATTTAAATACTCTATAATAGAAATACAGTATAAGCAGAAATTTTAGTGTGGATTCAATTTTGGCATTTTTAATAAGGGAGCTGAGATTGCTCAAATTAAATATTGCTAACAATTTATCCCCACATTTGAGGTTACTGTTATCTCTCAAGGCATCACAAAATCACTAAAATTACTTCTCGCTTAAATTAAATACCAAATTTTTACAAAAAAATCACTAAATTTGAGTCTCTCTAAAAATTCTACCTAAGTGGAATGCAATTCCTTATTTAGGCAATCAAATGTCTTTTTTTTTTACCTCAAAAGAGAAAGGACATCTGTCAATGAAATGCAGCTAAACATTTCTCCATCGTCTTGTATATAAAGCAAGGCCAGGATACAGTTGTACATGATGTTTAAAACTTCATCTTTATGAAAAAAAACACAATTGCATTGTAAATAATTTTTTTAACCACCAACTCCATATAATTTTTTTTTTTTTACTTTTAGTCCTAAATTTCATTTCCTTTATATCTCAGTTAAGAGGTTCATCTCTTTTTTTTTTTTTTTGCATGATATATAAATTTGAATTTAATTAAGAAATGAATTTAATTTTTGAAGATTCATGAGGACATGAACTACGACGCTTCACGCCGGCATATTTCATGAAGCGCATTACCGCTTCATGATAAATATGCCGGCGAGAAGCGTTGTAGTTCATGTACCTCATGAATTTTCAAAAATTAAATTCATTTCTTATATTTACATTATTTTCTGATGAGTTACCATAAATTATGCCACTCAACTGTCATTTTTAAAGCAAAACAGTTTGAACTATAGTTTTTACGTCAAGTCCGGTATTATGACGTAAAAATGGAGATATTCATGCTCATCCATGGTAGTTCATGAGAAAATGAACATTCTTCTAATTTGCAAAGAATCTTAAGGAAAAATATTTGGAAATGTAAATATTCAAAAATACACAAAATACCAAAATCACCTGTGGAAATCTGAGCATCATCTGATAAGATGTTCTTCAAACAATTTTTGAATAATGCTGTTACAATCTTGATGGCCTCTTCCTTGTCAAGTATGGGTCTGCAGAATTGAAAACAATGGTGCATAACATATCTGCATGACTGAATTAAGAAGTATAAAAATTGATAGTTAAAAAAGACTTTACTACATTCTTTGTGTTTGTATATTCTTTGAGATACAACAATAGATCTCAAATGTTGAATTATTATTGTTGGATTATCGTAGGATTTTGCAATAATTTTCTTAGATCCTAACTATCCAATTCTACATATTAAATTCAGTAAATTTAAAGATAAAAACAAAAATTACAGTTAAGTTTTTCTTTGAACATTTATGCAAAAAAAAAAAAATTACAAATGTCTCTTTAAGTACTGAATTAAATTTACCAAATTACCTGACGTGGGGCAGTAGTTGTAATGCAGACCAGACTTCAGGTAAACATCTACCACTCAATGCATCAGAGGAGGAGGTGTTCTTTAACACAGTCATAATGTGATTTGGAAGTCCTGTCCTGCAACAGAACATGAACAGTTACTACTTCCAACAATCTGTCAAAACATTTACCTTCCAATAAAATTTACTAAGTACTAATTACAAGCTTAAGGATAGTTATTCATCAATTTTTTTTCTAAGAAAGGAAAACTACAATTTTATTTGCTGACATAAAATATTTACTTCTTAGTGACCCCAAAGTCTAGCATGTAAGCCTGCAGTTGAGCAAGCTGACTGCCATCAGAAGGGGGTGGAGCTTTATGATGAATGACATCTGTCAGAATATGGATTGTCTGCTGCTGTGAGGAGTGGTTATTTCCACACATCACTTGATGACAGTATGGTAGCAAGGAGGGCAAAACATCCTGGTCAAATCGAATTTTTTTAAGAATAAATATACATATATATACAGTGTTTACTGTAAATCACTTAATTTTCATGAGGTCTTATTTTCACAAGATTGTTATTTGGTATTTATATACAAAAAAAAATTTCACAAATTTTGATCATTGCTCCGTATATTCCTTAATAATACTAATATATACATGAGAATGAAATTTTAGCGAGGAGACATACTCACATAATTATGCAGAAGTAAAGTTCTGGCAAATAAAAAGTGATTTGTTGCACGAAATTAAATCATTTTAGCTATACATGTAAACATACTCTTGCTTGACGGATAGATTTTAGTGCACTTACATGTACTTGGCTTAATTAGTATTATGCTAATATCATTTTCATTAGGTCTAAATAGAATAAAGTGAATAATAAAATTTCAAAGTACCTTCTCAAATACTGGGAGATGAAGGACAGCTCTAGTGAAAGAATACACATGGTTTTCAGAGTATTTTGTCTTGTACACCTGCAAAAAAAATTTCAAAAAATGAAGTTCAAAACACTGGGATCATACCATTATTAAAACCAACAAAACATCCTCCTAAGTTATTTTTACAGAGCTAAACTGAATGATTGTTAAGCAACTGTTTAAAAAAAAAGGAAATTTTTATATTCAGATATTACTCTTCCAAACAAAAGTTTCTCATGTGACTTACACTAGAGACTAGTTTGACCGTGCTTTCTACAGGTAGAACTGCAGTACAGGTAACTAGAAGACTAGCAACCACATCCAGTAGCTGTCCCCCAGTATCCTCCGTTAAGGAATCTCCCCTTAGTAACGTCAGCAGACACTGAAAGTTATTGCAAGAAAATGATTTGAGTTATCTCCCTTGAGAGAGGTCATTATACAAAGTTGTAAGAAAATGCTTTATATCATCTCAGTAAGGTCAACCCTCAACAGGCATTGAAAGTACCTTAAGAAAATGATTCAAATTAGAATATGATTCAAGTTATCTCCCTTCTCTCCCTCAGTAAGGTTCACAGTTTTCTTCTTTTTTTTTCTCAATGCTTTCATATGGTGTATGAACACTAATGTAATTGTTAAGCAAACTGCAGACTAATTGATTTTGTACCCTTATCATTTACACACACAAACTTGAAAGATGTGAAGTCCAAAAATAACTTGTACATGTATAAATTGTAGTTTTTCATACATTTTAGTCTGAATCTAAATACTACAGTAATGTTCTGTATAGCTATAAATGAACAGTACAAGACTTTGACTTTGCATGAAACTCTTCAAAATGCACATATATGTAAAAATGTTGACATCAAAACAACACAAATCATTTCCCTATACAGAAATAAAAATTTTAAAGTTATATGTATAAAAATTAATGATTTCTAAACAATTTTTAATTTTAATGGTTTTATAAATACCTGCGCCACAGTGTCAGGTTCTGCTACAATCTTTCCCTTCCTGTGGTTTATCCATATGTTCATTAAACGTAAAAGTCGCAACAGATGAGTGGAAATTTTTGGCTTGTTTTTCTTGGCAGCTTTTGTTGAATTCTGATAAACATTGTCAACTGAGGACTGACAAAAATAAGAATGTCCATGATACTTTCCATAAATTCAAACAATAGAATCCAATGCAAACCTTAACCAACATATCAAACTTAACAAAAACAAAATCAGTATAGCAGCATGCTGTTCAATGTCGTCTGCTGATCAAAGAGAGATAACTCAAAGTATTTACTAGTAAATCACATAAGAGTTGTCTCTCTTTCTACATCTAAATGGAGACTTACAATTAGTATTTTCCATATATCAGAAGAGTTTTTCTTGTCGGTATGTTTTGCCATTGACACAAACATTTCAGTGACTGCACCTTCCACAAGGTCCCAGGGTAACTGTTCATATTGACCATCCTGACATTCACCAAGTTTGCTAAGTACAACTGGGAATGTCTGTAAAAAAAATTGTACAAGGATAAAAATTCATTTTAAATCAAATACAAAAGTTAAATAAATAGCAAAATACACTTTGATCCTATTCTTTAAATTTCATAAATTTAAGTGTATTTTGCTATTTAATTAACTCAAGATGACTGTTAAATAAGGTAACAAACACAAATCAACAAACCTTTTGTGTACAGCTGTGAAACTGTTTCTGAACACCTTTAACCATCTCAAATAACAGGCGACCCACACCTTCTGCAGTCTGTTAAAGAATATTTTGGTAAATCTTCATTTTTTTTTTAATTCCGAAAACTTAATAAGTACATATAAACTACACTTCAAAGTCACTTTCAAATGACTACATTATGAATTTGGACTAAAATTTGTCTTCAATAATTAGAATAGACAAATTTCCTGCTATTCTGTGATCAACATTAAATTAAAACCTTACCTCGAGTGCCTCAACTAAAGTAAGGAACAAAAAGTCAAACAACTCTCCATGGTTTTTCACCTATGAATAAAATAAAATTGTTACAAATGTACATACAAGGTCTAGGCAGTATTTGTAAAATACATTCCTTATTTCCTTTTTTTTAAATTACAATATTTTTTTTTTTTTTTTTGAGAATCCTTTTACTGATTTAAAGATCAAATTTAACACATTACCTTTCTCATCAGAAAAGCAAAACTCTCAGCAGCAAAGTTCACGATATATTCTCTATTATTCTTTCTTAACAGAGTAGAAAAGTACCTGGAAAGTTAAAATAACAAATACATGTACTGAATCAAACAACTATAATTTTTAAAATTCATGAAAAACATTTCTCAAAGCCAATTCCCCCCCCCCCCCCCCCACTGACCCCTATCCCACACCCCAGCATTATTTTAACTTACTGGTATACATCCTTAATGTCTCTAACTAAGTAACGCCAGAGGAACTTGAAGATATAGGACAGGGCTGAGAAAATGCTTTCCAGAATTTCTGGGTTCTGGCCATTTTTGCTGAGGAGACCAACCAACAAGTCAAAAAATTCATGGAAATAAGAGTAGAAGTCTGTCTGAAGATCTCGGGCCAGCTGCACCAGTAAACTTCAAAAAAATCCATTGAAATTGATATATTTTAAGGAAATGATGAAGCTTTTTATGTGCTGTTCAATGTTTCCCAATTTTTTATTCATGTATTTAGACATATTTCATAATTTACTTCAGAAGTGGTCCAAGTGCCAAGCTATCAGGAATATCCAAGTGTTTCTTTAATGCGGTGATGATTTCTTCCTATAAATTACAAAATAAAAAAATTGATTCATATTCACCACATGTATTGTAATGAATGAAAAAGATTAAATGTAAGGAACTACTCCAAATTATAAACCAATTCTGATTTTAAAAACTCCAGATGTTCTTACAGTTATGTTCACTTGGAGCATTCAATTTTCACAATTATATTAAAAATATTCATAAATAGTATATCTAAGGGGGTAACAAATTTTCTATTTGTACATCTAACTTAACTTGGGTTTCCAAGCTGAATTGCATGGCCTTTTTATGGTAACTGTTAAATAGAGGTTATACCTTGTGATGAACCAGCTGTGTAAATGTCTGCACTTGGTCACTTATCTCCTTCCTAAAGTTTGCTACAACATACAGAAATGTACATTAATAAATCACAAATTTTGATCCATATTAGTAGGACATGACAGAGTGGAAAAAGTGACTAAGAATCATACCAAAATGCTCTGTGCAGTTCAACTCTGACCATTTTTGTAATGCTTCACAAAAATAAGTGGAAGTTTCCTGAAGTAATAAATAAGTCTTAAATATTAATTAACATCACTATGATTAGTATATATATAGGTGTAAACTATATAATTTAGAATGGAGATTTAACTAAATGAGGTATGTCTCCAATTGTTTCATAATCATTAAATTCAATCCTTTTGCATGTAAATTTTACTACAATACAATAAATTATTAAGTACAGTCAAACCTTGTTATCTCAAACCCAATGATTATGATCATGATTAAACTCTCATTTATTCAAGGATTTGAGATAATGAAGGTGAAAAGCATAAAGAAAAAAGTTTTTGGGACTGCCAATTCAATTCGATATAAAACTGATATTCAAGATATCTGTGTTTGAGAAAATGAAGTACAAACTGTACTTAAATATTATTTTAAATTACTGAATTCAAACAATCTTTTAATAAAAATACCCTAGTTGCACTTAAAAAAAAATAAAACCTATGGTTACATGTCATCAAAAACTTACATCTGGAGTGTCATCATGATGTCTGATCTTGTGGATGACATCAATGTTTACACTGGCTATTCGTTCAGTAAATGTCTGAAACTAAGGCGAGAAAAAAACAATAATAATCAAATTGTTATATACTCTAGTAAATCTTTATATTACAAAAAGGACAATTCAAATATAGTGCAAAAAAAGCACCAAAGCTTAATAAACATATGTAACAGTAAAATAACCAAATTTACTAAAAGCAGTATAACACAAGAAACACTATAGTGGATGGATTTCGTATTAGTTAAATTTTGCTATGAAAAACTTTAAAATATTCATCATTTGCAGGAAATTTGAGGATTGCATGAGAACAAACATAAGAAATTGTCCTGATCGAGCGTCAACTGACCTTAGTTCATTAACGGTGTGCATGATGATATGAAAATGCAGAAAAAGGGGAAATGAAAAGTATTCCATACATGTTTAAGGGACTAACATGAACAAGACACAAATTATTTATAAATTATGGGAATAACAGGAATTAGCTTTGATAAAGTATACTAGAAATATTTGAGGATTTTGTCGTGGTATGAAATCCTTAAATTCCCCTGTAAGCAAGATATGGTAACTTAAGTTAACCGTCAATCCAAAATGAAAAGACTTAGCCACATTGGAAATTACTTTCAGATTGTGTAAAAAAAATTTTGGCTTCTTTCATACTCAAAATTGAAAGTTTACAGCATTTTCCTAGAAAAAGTAGCAAGTACCCTGAACGTATTCTCTGCCTTCGATTTCCCCATCTGTATTTCTTCGCGTATAATGATTTACTATGAGCAATATACTGTCGGTGTAAAATCACGTTGATTCTCCTCTGGAAGCTGCCATTTTCTTTGAACAGCGCCCTCTGTTTGCCTCCAATCCCGATTTCTAATACATATGTTTTTATTAAATTTTTTCTTGTTGTGCCTTTTCAAGTAAACTGTCAAATATTATTACTGAAAATTGCTTGAATGTTTTTTTAACAAGATATATTATTTTGTTTTTGAAATTAAAAAATAAATAAATAACATCGGGTACGGGATTTAGAAATTCCTACAGCGCCATCTGGAAAGTGAAAAAAAGAAGTTTATGTTGTAAAAGGGTATGGATAACTATATTTTAACACGTTAAGTTAACGGTTAACATTGTATATACATAGAATGAAGGATTTTACGATATATTACATATTGAAATGAATCTTGGTTGTTTCACGCTCGGGAATTCGTTATGACCTATCACCAGCTAGCAGCTTAGATCTATCACACACAAGTTGTGATCAGACAGGGTTGTACTTTGTTAATCAGCTTGTTCATTTTTAGCACTTTTTTTTTTAAGTTCAAGTTATGAAGATGGGTATACATTTGTACATAGATGTTGCCTTATACGGCGTATATTTTTTAAGTTCAGACTAACTAAAATTCAGAAGATCTTTCTATTTGTTTTATTGCCTTATATAAAGATAGGATATATTGGAATTTAAAACAATAACCGATATATTTACCGACTCCCCATTTAAATAACAGACACAGTTTAAAGTCAATTTAACTAAGGAAACATGAGGTTATTCAAGTTCAAAATTGGTGAAGATTTTAATTTGAACGTAAATAACATATATCATGTTTATTTACACTAAAACTTGTATTTTTATTTTTTAGCTCTGATACGCCATATATAGCTTTTAATTTTATTCATTCTGACATGCACAAAATATTGTCTGAGTAAAATAAAGTATGTGGGTTTAAAGCATCTTCCCTATTACAACATTTACTCATTTTCTTCTATGTTTGGTGCTTATGATGTATCCAATGCTTTTGGAATGACAAGTGTAAAAAATGCCAGAGATGATCCTGTGTTGGTGTTTTAGGGTTAGACATAATACTGTTTGAAGAAATGATGTGATCAAGTTAGTAGAGTACCTGTCATAGTAGAGAGACTTTGGTTTCAATTATTGTCTTGTCTGTTGCATTACTTTTCTCCATTCTTGTTTCAAGTTGTGTTTAAATCTTAGGATATGCCATCACCATAATGAGAATATGCCCCCAAACATCCACATTTTAGCAGAATGAAGTTGATCTGCATCAAAACTCTGGAAGATATGCATGATGCTGCACTAAAAATAAGTGCCAGATTAATCAAAGATAACCTGTCTGAGTGTACATGGAGATTCTTTTGTAGGGAGAATGTCACTTTATGTGTTTGAAAAATATATGATTTGTTTTTCTGTATCATTCTTAGATTAACCAAAGTTAGAGTGTACCCTGTATTTGTATAGGTATAACACATTCTTATGCAATTTACAGAATCTAGCACAAGTGAAAAAAAATTATAGTATCTCTGAAACTTTCGGATACTGTACCCAGTGTCAGTTGTTGCATGATGAAGAGAAGATTCTGTTTACTTCCTAACCCCATGAAATATATTTACAGTTTAATTACAGTAGCACCAACTGTGAAAATATGTCAATTCAAATCCTTATGTGACTGCCATCATCTTATTCCACATTATCTAGCTATGTGATGCATGATCTTGATACCGGTACATGACCTGCATTGAAAGCATTATTATCATGTTTAGAGTCAGAGGCTGTTGGTTTGAATGCACATTGAGTGATAATCATTACAGAAGTGTATTGTAATGTAATTTTTTCTGCTAATAACTTTTTGTGAAAGTTTATTTTATTGATATTGATATACAGTGTATACCGTTATAAAACTTCCTATATTTCTTTCACAGTCATGGCCAGCAACAAGGATGTACTGTTGTCAGAGCTTGAGCAGGTGAAACAGAAAGCTCCTCATATAGAAGGCGTGACCTTAGAAGCCTGTCTTCCAGAGATAGTCAGAGTTCACATTTAGTAAGTACATGTGTACTGCATAATCAGCTAAAAATAACCAAAGATGCTATCCATATGTTTCCTTGTGGGCAATGGTGCTTTGTGCACTAGTACTATTGGTAAATTTGTCAGTGGTTCCTTACTTAAATCACCAGCTGGCAATAAGATTTCTTTATCTATCATGAGAATACTTTTGACAATGCCAGCATTTCTGGGTTAATGAAAGCACTGTAAATACATGTATTATAAAGTGCAGTAAAATCAGTTTAATAGCACCTTTTATCGTGTATCTAATTTAAAGTAAATTATTTGTGGAAAGAAAAACATCATTGTCAGTAAGTCCAAAAAGGTGTACACTACATTTATATGCAGAACAGTTTGTATTTACAAATTTTTCATGTAGTTGAATTGATAAGAATTCTCTTACATGGTGACATTCAGTGTTTCATTTGCAAAGAATGCTTTTGGTGTGGTTGAATATCATTATGATTGGTTCTAGTGTGGATGATATGAGACAGATGACAGCAGTGATGCAGTTCCTGGAGACTTATCCAACAGAACCTATAGTGGTGGAACTAAAGAGCAAGACTCTGACTGAAAAACTACTGGACGGAGTGGTCAAGATCTGTGATGCCGAGGCACGCAAATATATAGGTCAAAAACAGGTAACAGAGGCTCGCAAATATATAGGTCAAAAACAGGTTAGAGAGGGTTTAATACCTTATTTTTTTCTTCATTGATGCAGTATATTGTTATACATGGTAGGGAGATTACCTAAATTGCTGATTTGCAGTGTTTTCATTTTATTTATTTGAGGAAATTAGAAAATGTAGATGTTTGAATATAAATGGATATTTGGTGAAATGTATGCTAGTACATATAAGATTTTAAAACACTGCTTTGCTTCATATTATTAATGAGCTACAGGTTGTTTTTTGCAAGATAAAGGCTATATTAAGAAAAAAATGGACAACTGATAAATAAGTCCACTAGCCTCTTAAATTACAACATTGCTTTAGTATTACATTATTAGTCAAGTAATGCTGGTAAAACATTCATTGTCAGAATCTATAATTGGGTTTCTAAAAAATTATTAATTTTGTAATTGTTTTTACAGATTATCCTGATGATAAACTTTTTAAAGCAGTTCTTGATAGACAACCCTCTGTGTATTGTTAATGATGAAGTCGGGAAAGTGAAGAAAGAGCTCCTGTCAGACGAAGACAGGTGTAAACTGATGCAGTCTACCTCACAGATAGTGCTAAAGATTAAGGAAGAGGAATACTATATGAGCTTTAAAATCACAGTCCCTCCGGACTATCCAGCCAAGCAAGTCCAGTATGTGGGTTTAGTCCTAAATAGAGTTATTCCCCTTGTCAAAAACCTTCTTAAAATATATTTTTTTCAAAATTTTGATATTTGGAACTATAACTTACATGTTTTGAATGTTTATTAATGCTCTCAATTATTGAGAGGGAAACGCATGATAATGTGATGTACTGTATATTATTTTGCTCATGAATGATCTCATGTACATTCAGAATAGAAATGTCAGAGAACAACTTTCCTGATATACTGAAGACAAACTTTGTTGGTCAGGCAGTAGAAATAGCCAGACAGTGTGTACAACCTCCCCTGAAAAAGAAACCAAAGTAAGAACAGTGTTTGTTACACATCATTAAATTAGCAATCATTTGTAATGAAGGGTCAATATCAATCTATCCTCTTGTATTATAGCAGATCTTCATTCTGTCCAATTGATATAACTGAGAATTTTTCAGGTATTTAGTAAAAGGAATTATGTTAATTTATGCATATTTTGTGAATTTATTTTACCAGTAAATAAGACAATGATCTGACTTAACTTAATTAAGATGCCAATTTTTATGAATATTCTGCATTTTTGTTGCTTGGACTCTGACTCGGGTAGTTGCTTTGTATTTTGAATTTCTTGAATTGTTTTATTTTATTTCTATCAAGAGACCCTCCCTTTGAACCTAAACCCTCGCTGTACCCAGTCTGTGAACATCTTGTACAACAGTGTGTCAAAAGATACGCAAAAGAGAACTGTCCCTTGTGTAATGATAGAATTCTGCCTCGAGATCCAGAGGTAAGGACTTTTTAAATTTGAATTTTTTGTTTTTTTGGGGTTTTTTTTTTTGGGGGGGGGGGGGGTTGTAGTAGTACTAGTGCATCACCTTTGCCTCCCAAATTGTGATTGGTTGTGTTTACTTCTGAGATTGCACCACACCATTTCCATTCAGGAAAAATTAATTTGATCATTTAATGTTTTAAGTAAAATTGACCCATACTTCAGTGCACAAGTTTAATCGGTAATAAGATTAAAGATTGTTCCTTTCATTCTTTGCCATTTCTTAAATTAAATTTTGGGAGGGAACAATCACATCTGAGAGTATTAGACTTCCTGAACATTTTCTTTAAAAGGAATACTTGAGTAGAAGGAACAATATGTAGTCTATGTGTAAGAGGGAGTTGTCTCCCTTTGATTCAGATTGTTAAAATGTAATTTATATGCTTTGTGTTAAATAGAATTAAATTGTTTTTTTTCCCCCTCTTTCAGGAATTGCAAAGATTAGATAAGAAGAAGAGGATAGAAAGAGTGTATTGTGGACATTTATTTCATTATTTCTGTTTATATAAATTCATGAAGACACCTCCTTTTGCAGGTAGGAGGCTATCAAAGTTTATGGTTATTTAGAACTTCAGTTTCTTTAAGGTTACCGTGAAGGATTTTATCAGGTGGAAAGAATTCTGAATATATCATTAAATAATTTATAAAAGCTAGAACTCTGTTAGAATATTTTAAAAAATAAAAATGGAGAGTTAAATTTGGGTGCAAACTGCAGAGACCTGATAAGGGAAAACTGAACATTCTTTTTCTTTTTCTCTCTTTTTTTGTTATTCTTGTTTTAAACATAAGTTTGTAATGAAATACTTTACTTTCTATTAAGCTGGAAAATTTTGTCCATCCTGTGGCAAACAGATTTTCCATGAGAAGTTCAAAGTTTCAGCAGAATTGGCGGAGGCACGGTGGGCACACAAGCAGGCAAGGCAGCGAGAACTAGCGGAAGTGGTGGACTTCTTAGAATGAAATTTCTAGACCTTAGGCAATATTTTAATAATTAATTGTGATATTTTTAAATTAGGTAAATGTGTACATTCAAATGGTTTACATGTACTGTGTGCTTGTATTTCAAATACAAGTTTAGTGCATTTTAGATAATGCATTTATAGTTTTGAAAGCAGTGAAAGTTATTATTGAATGGCTGTTTGTTGGGATTCCTATAAAATAGTACTCAGTACTAGAAAGGACTGAGAAACTTATGTCTGTTAACATGTAAATGTATCAGGCTTTATAATTCTGGTAATACTTTCTAGTTAATACATGTATATTAAAGTTAATTAAAAGAATTGTTATATGCTTATTTCAGACCAAGGGTTTAGAAGTTATATTCAATATTCTTTGGGTTTTTTTGCATGAAGCAAATTTATGTATTTATGCAGGTATTTTAAGTTACAAACATTTTTTGAATCTTTAAAGGGACAACTTTTTACAAACTTTTTTGTCATATGACCTATACATTCACAATATTTGCTCAAGATTCTGGTGCGTAACAGATTAAGTTAAGGACCCTTTATACACTAATAACAAAAATTGTGTTTGGACATTGAGGAAATTTTATCATATAAAGTATAAATATTGAGTTTATCTGGAAAGTATATGCAAATAAAATGTTCAATTAATTCATCTAGGCCTAGAGAAATGGCAAAAATTCTTGAATTGATTGAAATACATTGTAAGTTTCTATTTGTTTTATTTTAGATCTAGCAGATCACTCTATTTGTATAAAAATGTCATGGAACTAGAACTGATTAATGTGCAGTATTTAGAGGGTTCTGAACCAAAATTGAAAAAGTAAATTTTGACTGTTTTAGACTTTATATTGGGTAAATTTGTCATATTGTTTTTGTCTTTCTGTCAGTATTGTTTTGTAAGTCAGTGAATAATAATGTGCTCATAAGCTTATAGCATTACATAAAATAATTGGAATAATAAATTCAACATTGAAAACCAAGAGAGAAAAATCTGACTTTGGTACCTTTTCGACATAAAAATCATGTAAGAAAGCAATGTAAGAGGTTTGGTGATTGATGTTTTGTTATTTCATTAGTATTGGTTTTCCTTTTTCCTGTAAGGCCTCTTTTGTGATAATGTTAATGTTCATTCTTGTACAAAGAACCACTACCATGGAGAAAGAATGGGATTTTTTCACAGTGTCATACAAATATAATGACACAGTGACACAAACAATGCATTTGTTAACAGTTAAACAGTAAAGATGTTAAGTTTAGAAACACATTTAAAAACTTCACTAATTAGAGGAAAACAACCATACAAAATTATTATTTGACAAAAAAAAAATTATTCTGACATTTGTAATGTACATGTAATTGTGTTTCATCTTTTATAAAAAGTATATATGCATAAGTCTAAGGAACTTGTAGGACTTCTCAAAAAGGATTTTTTTAAACCATGAAAAGTTTATCTCGATCATCAAAGATATTTTTTTTAAGAAAACTAAAAGTATTGGAAATGAAATGAATAGTGCATTTATTTTTAATTGTTGCTGTTTACAATTAACAATTTATTGTCTTTGTATATGGCTGTTGAAAACAGAATGTCACTTTTGTAATTATGATGTACAGGTGTTCAGAATCTCAGTCTTGTTTAAATAATATACCTGTAGTCTTATTTATAAACTATGAGTATTTGTACTTAATTTTGAGGATAATTCATCAATAGAGATTCGAACAAGAATTCCTATTGTCAATATCCTCAATATAAAGACTTTTAAAAAATACATGATAACTATTTCCAATTTAAATGAGTATGAAATGTAATTTGAATCTCAATCATGTGATCAATAATTGAACTATTAATTGCCATATATGCTCACCTATATTTCAGATTTTTAGGAGTTAAATTTTCATTCAAAACTCTGTGTCCAACTACTGGTAATGAATGAGTCCTATTCCTAGAAAATTTGGTATTTTTCTGCAAGAGGAGATATTGTAATTTTGTAACAACTCCAATGATAATCATTTAAAAAGGTCGGAACTTAATCAAGTACAGAAAGGGAAGGTTTAGATTACCATAGGTATAAAACACTAGAAACTACAGATTTTTATGGTCTTATATTTAGTTTAAATTGTTTATAAAAGATCAAATGTCAATGCCATTTCCCATATTATACTTTGAAATACAGGGTAATACAATAGAATATTAACCTGAAAATTGTTGCAGATTCTTGCCAAAAAACCTACCGACTCACAAGTGGGTCAATACCGGTAGGTCAATAAAAATAACAAGAGACTGGCATGTATAAGCGAACTAACTTATAGGTGAGTATATACTGTAAATTCATTGAATAAGAATTTTCTGTGTACACCTTGTAATTTCATGAAAGAAATTGTGTAACCAGTGTTGAAAGATGCATTGAGTTTTATAGTCATGTTTCACATGCTTTTAGATTTTAGTGATTTTAGCTCTAAAGAGTAAAAATTGTGTGTTTATATGTGAGTGGGACAGAGAGAGGAGAGAGAGAGATTATGTTGAATAGCAAGAACAGTTCTGTTCATTAATTTAATGTACAAGTGGAATGGAGAAATATTGATTCATAATGTTTTTTTCTTATGTCATACAGCAGAATTTATTTATGAAATGTGCTCTTTTTGAAATGATATCCTATAAAAGATATCAGTTCAATGATATCTCAACTCAGTTACTGTTTTGAACAAGGTAATTATTTGTACTTTTTTTTATAGTACGAATACAGCATTATCTACTTTTATTGTTGTTATTCTTGAAGAGGAAAATTTTACCATCATGATAAATAAGCTATGTTTTACTTTATCTGAATAATTCTAACAGGAAAATAAATTAATATTTCTTTGTAGATGCATTCATGTGCTTGTGTGAGCCTAAGTTAGTCCTTAATTGTAAGAGAATTTGGTAACAGGAATGCCAATAGCTGTAATTGCAGGATAACTCTTTTAAAATGTGCTGAAGGTGTGCATTGACACCCCTCCCCCAAGAAAAATTGCCTTACTTTATTTGTCTCAAAACTGGGGAGAAAACGCTTGTAAATGGAAATCCTGGATCCACCCCTGGTTATATGTTATTAGGTCGAGGAGTTTGAACTTTCACGTCTTCATTCAGTCACCCGATTGATACCATAATATTTATATTTAGTTCCTTTCTGCGTAATCTTATTTAAGGCTGTATAAGATCTAATGGAGATGGCCGGAAATGTTAGTGGCGGATCCTGGTTCAAATATATTATCGCCTTTTTATTTTGGCACACAATACGTATGCACATGCTATATCCTAAATGTTAAGAGATGATATTCAGTATATCATATTAATCTAGATGTGAATTGCAGAACGTGCAATCCTAAGACGTAGCAAAAGGGAAATATTGCGTAAAAAAATAAAAAGCTGCTCATATTGCAGTAGAGGGCAGCTGTTAATGGCGCCAAATAATTGACAATTTGATCCCCTTCTCCTGGCTATTAATACAGTCTGTTTTATTTCTAGGGTTTACTGCAGGAAACTACACGGAAATTGACAGATATGCTAGAAAGCTCAAAGGAGGGAATATGAGAAGTCATTTGATTGTTGAAATAAAAGTCATAAATCGCGTCCATAAGATTGAATTTCAGTTCCCCGTTTCCCAGAATTAGCTGCAGAAGTTGGACTTTAATTTCGAATTCACAGGAAATGTCGTTGTCACGTGTTTGGTGAACTGAACATTTTCCCCTTGGAATAAATTTCATTTTAAATAAACTGTACTATGAATATAAATCAATTGCTGATAAATAGATCTTAATGATACTAGACAGAGGTGAAAACTCTATGGAAATTAGATCACAGTTACATTTGGCACGCAAGTGCATGGTATTGCATACGAAGCAACCACATATCTGTGTTGGTGTCAACGATCAAATAATTTTCAGCAATATATGATGTAACGAACCTAATTTTCACCGTTTACCCCCCTCTTTTTTTTTTTTTTTTTTTTTTTTTTTTTTTTTGTATGTTCATAATCCACTGAAACCTGTTTAGTTAAATCTAAGAATGGTTCAGTCAATTGACACATTTTTCTTCGAATTTGAATTCCTTTTATGCTGTTTGACATTTTAGATCAAAGGATGGCATTACGATGCAGCCACATACCCAACCCAAATCAAGCCAATATAATAATTTTTGAATTCTTACTCTTCAAACTACAAAAGAACTTTGGGAAAAACGGAAAGAGCATAACGTACTTGCTGATGGATTAAATATTGCAGTATCTATAATTCAAAACGGCACTCGTCTATGCTAAAAGATTAAAAGTAAGTTTGGCAGATAAAATTGTTTGTAGTTTAGTCAATCTATTATGAAACATCAAACTAATTACAACAGAATTTATTTTGTTATAAATAAACACTACATGTAGAATGCAGAATGCGGTAGAAAATCTAACAAAATCGGATAAGGAGACACCATTACTTTGGGGTACATAAATTTTCTATGAAAATGACTATACAAAGGGGGCATAATTCTTGTCATTTAAGTAAATTTGGATTAAATTCTTGGTACATTTTTCTGACTTAAAGAAAGAGGAAGTTAATTAAACTGTGTATAATGACATTTATAGATGATGTAGTAAAACTTTCTATGCCCAGCAAACAAATTATTGCCGATGTTTAGGCTCACTTCAGAGTGTATGTTGCATTTCCTAGCCTAATAATAATATTTTAGCGAAGTCAAGAGGTTATCAAAACATAGGCAAAAGTCTTTGTTTTAAATCTTTATTGATATTTTTTTCATTATATTTGGTATTTAAAGTATTTATGTACTAATTGAAATGATCAATGCATAATCAATCTAAGGGAAATTCATGCTGTTGTTTTTTAATCTCTTCTAAACTCTATATTCACTTTCTTTTTAAAAATGCTGATATTTCCAAATTAACAAAAAGTGTGAAACTAAATTCCAAATATCCATTTCAAATTTATATCATATACGAAATAATGATCTGTTAAACTGTATCAAAAATTTTTTAAATCAGATTATGCTGTCATGTGTAAATTTTGAATTTACCTGGTGGCAACTAAATAGAAAACCTATACAGCATGAATTTGTAAATTTTGTATTTACTGCCAATGTTGCAAATTTTGTTTTCATTGCCATGACAATGTTAAAAATTATGTATTTAAAGCCACCCGGTAAATTCAAAATTTACAACATGACAATGCTATCATGAACAAGATGTGTTTGTGAAACACCGATGCCCCCGTATGGCAACTTATAGCGAAGGTTAAACTTTCTCAAATGCAAATCAAATATGTTGGTACCCAAAGTAAGGTCTTGTCTCGAGGAATAAACCTGTTAAATATGAAAGCCCTAGCAGCAACCATTGAATAGATATGGAAAAGGTTAACGTTTTTCAAAAGTAAGTCAAACATCAAGGACAAGGTCAAATGGTCAAAATTAATGGTGCCTAAGGAAAGGCATTCTCACAAGAAATATACAGATGAAATAAGAAAGCTGAAGCACCAATCGTTCAAAAGTTTTGACCAAGGTTAAAGTTTTTCAAAAGTAGGTAAAACTCCAAGGTCAAGGTCAATGGATTACAATTGTTGGTATCCAAAAGAAGGTCTTGGCACAAGGAAAAAACATGTTAAATATGAAAAGCAACAACTTTTCAAAAGTTGTGTCCAAGGTTAAAGTTT